CCGATTGATTACACAACATGAATTATATTGCTTTGATTCAATTCAACCACTGGCATCGAAATTAATTAACTTTATTTCATATAAAACAATGATAACTGTAATGACCCTTTAAATAAAATACATTGATATGAACATCCGTTAATTTCATCATATTGACGAAAACAGTAGATAAACGGTTGTACTAACTACACAATCTTCGTTTTGGTCCTGGTATTATCACTATCAGATGGTATTGGTAATCACCACCGTATCGTTATATCCAACGGCGAATAAACATTAATCTGATTATTTGATTATGCAAGGTTAAAGAGTAAATTTTATTAATGGAAATATGGTATATGGAGAGACTGTGGCTGCCGTGGGTAACATTATTTCATTAAAGACTTCATTGCACAACACACACACACACACACGGTACTTGACACAGGAGACATTAGCTAGCTAATTCACCCCCACGTCAGACGTTACACATTGTTGGCTTTTGGTCTTCTTATATTTATTCATCGATGTGATCTGATTGGATTAATTAATTTTATCACATTTGTTAGCAAACTGACACAAGTAGGAACACAGATGGGCCACTTTAGGTGAAAAGACCAAACAAAGTGAATGTGATCACTTTGTCTACTGTCAATAGTGAAGAAATTGGCGCTCAGTTGAACGTATTGTCTGAATAGACGATAGATGTCTTAATCGATAACATCCCTTGCTGCCTTCATCTCCCCTTAGAAGAAAACTAAATATAAGTGATTAAGACTAGTTCCATATTACCCCACAAATGAAAAGTTGTATAAATTGGTTCCGACAAGCTGCATGAGCGTACATAAGTTTTCTTCGAGAGATCTAGACATGATTACTTAGGGAGAGCTTTCTTCGCTCTCGAAATTTTAATTTGATTTTTTGAGGTTTTGCCCAAAACATCCCCTTGTATGAAATATCATTAATCGATTTATGATATTCACATGATACGATAAAACAATTATTTGAGTGGAAACTGATAGACCACTGGAAATAAAAATGATTAAAATCGATTTCTTTTTTGATTAGAATTTAGAAAGTTGTGGCTGAGGATTATCAATAATATTGGTACTTTTTCCCTCCTTTGCTATCGATTTTGTATTTGTGATGATATTTTTTATGGCAAAAATTTTTTGTTCACTTGTTTTTTTTTTAACCTAAAGTCAGCTGTGCGCTTTCCATAGGTTCAAAGATATATTACACGTCTATCATATATATTTAAAGTATGTGTCTAGAAATTTGTAAACATAATCTTTGTCTTTCGGCTAATTCAAAAAACCAAATCAAAGTCTGGAGACGAAGCTATACGTCATTCTGAATTCAGAGTTAAAAAAGCAATTGGTCTAGGAAGGTTTGTCCGTATAATTTGTATAACCAGTTCTTAAGCTTTTGGTGTTTTAACAGGAATTTACCGGGATTTGTCGAAGATTCCCTGACAGATCTTATGAATAACTTTGGCTACTTTTCCGGAAATTTGCAACGTGAAAAAATGTCTTGAGTTATTTGAAACAATTTCCAATTTTTATCGAGTATTGGCAGTGGTATTGTTTATCGATTGTAGCGGATCTGTGTAATGTCATGTGTAGTGTGTTTAATCTCTTTGCTTAGTGATCGCATTAAGCGGCAAGTCGTATTGATTGTTATCCTATTAGAGTTCCATACGTTTCCCTCCCTCTGATTATCTTGTCACAGAAAATTGATGTGGAAGGAGAGACCAGAAGATCAGAACTCAGCGTCTTTTACGGGTCTTTTTCGATATCCGTGGGGTATATCAGTTCTAGACACGATGTTGAAGAAGCGCTATTCCACCATGAGCTAATAGTCAAGACTTGTTCTTAATGTCTTAAAGAACTGGCAAGAGATATGTCTGTGTGCATTAGCTAATCTTATTACTAGCTGAAAAACTAACGAAGATGGGGAAAATCATCTTAAGAGCAAAGGCTAAATATAAGGAAAAAAATGGAATATTCTGATCTAAGCAAATCTATTTAGGATGCTTGTTTTTTTCTATTTTTGTCCTGTTCTACAAATAAAAGAAAGTCATCGTTTTATTTGGAGAATGGTCTAGGTCAGGCAACTTCCTGTTTATTTTAAATGGTACAAAAAGCGTCTAGTCCATCATATGTCGCAAACCGGAAAATACGTTTGCACACTTGCAGGACACACGCCAAATTCCTCCAAATTTGTAACGGAGTAGTGGAAATATTTTATATAAACTTGTTTCGTAGAACAAAATAATTACGTATCCTTACTTCTCCAACTCATCCAACCCAAAGTTTGGCGCCGAGAAGATGTGTGCACCCCAATATTAACTAGAACAAATGAAAGAGTCACCTAATGTATGAATCTCCATGTTTACAGAACGACAGGAAAGCCACATAATTCTCTTAAGATGATTCTCTCCAGTCATTGATGGAATGGAAACTGATTAATCTTTCCATCAAAGGCTTTTCCGTCAGCTCCACTTTCCTCCTCAAAACATTTAATATTCTTAACTAAATGGCATAAAGAGATTGTCCCCTCTTAGCCCCACTCTTGACATAAAGCTCTTCAGACACTTATAGTATAAAGGTAATACATAAACGAACTTCACATTAACAGAGTACATTTTGAAACTCACCAAATAGTCACGGAGACTATGGAAACTATATCTCTCAATAAACTATAACACATATTTATCTGTCAAGTGTGTATTATTATATCAACTAATAAACAGCAGGATAACGACTGTTGATCGGTGCCGTATACAAGACATGACCTGCTTACTCTCTAGACCACCTGTTACGCACAACCTCTTTGTGCATTTTACTATTACTAAAGAATCAAGATGTTCACCTTGAAATGATAAAAATCCGCCACAAATCGACTAATATGTCATTTTTCGTAACTTTTTGTACTGTATGCCATGAACTTAAAATACAGGGATTAATTGAGAAAAAACCTCCACGCGGTAACCAATCTAATATAAAGTTAAAGTTTAGATAAAAACGATTTACTTCTGACATTAAAATTTAACAATATCGAACAAGATAGATTCATCACCCTGACAACCAATACATGACACGAAGACACGAACACACTTTTTGAATAAAAGTGGAAGTTGTTAATTTAATTCTGTTTCATTGGCTACAACCGACGAATGTCCAAATGAAAGGATGGCATGTACATTAATACGGTTTGCGTGAAAAATCATGTTCCTTTTAATTCATTTGGAGAAGGTCTACAAACATTGGCATCTCAGTGGAACCAGCAAGCACACATTGGCAACCCAAGGATGAAAAAGTGGGAAATGTTGGTGAATAACGTGAACCCAGTAACAAGCCTGGGTATAATGCATTGGATTCAATTACACAATGAAGAGTCTGAGATGGAAGGTTTATTAGACTTGCCCAGTCTACTAGGCTAGTATTGACAATCTTTGACGCTCAACCCAATGGATAGCACATAACATGTAAAGGCATTTAGAAGTATTCATTGAAATATGTTTGAAGCGCAAACATATCGAGAGCTTCAACAATAACGCAATCTGAATTCGGCTATTTATGACAAGACTAATCTTGTACTCGGCAAGGGTTGATTAGTTGGGTTTCACGGCCAACAACATTGCGCCATACAGTCCTAGCAAGTTTTTTTTTATCTGTTACTGATCTTTTACTCTTTATAGTTCTCAGATCAACGACGTCCCAAAGGGTGTAATATTTCTCCTTAATCAAACCCGTGTGATTCATCCGAAGAAAATCATCATAAAACGGACATAGTAAGAAGAGTTAAACAGCAATTGGTGAAATCCTAGCTCTGATTACCGTTTCATTTAATGTTTATTTGAAAAGCGAGTCGGTTTTGTCTGTCTGTAATGATGATTAACTCAGATGGTATTCTCGCCGACTTTTCCAGTTTTCTATCTCCTAACGGCAAGTGTCTGCCATATTAAATCATCCCCTAGTGCCACCAAAAGTCAAGTCATACTAACCCATTGTATACCGATAGCCATAATAAAATGACGAGGAGAAGAAATAAGAAGCCATATTAGGTCATTAATATTAATAATGGAATAATGGATACTTTGGTCCCCACATCAAACCCATAAACGTTATAATCAAATTAGAACTACTGTTACAGAAGTGTTAAGAATAAAACAATTTTAAAACAATAAAGACCGTCGTGTAGATATCACTAACAAAGATCCAACAGAAATAAAAAAAATCGTTGAAGAAAATAATTATGTTTCCGGTTAATTATACTATTTTGGGTAAAAGCTCTTTTACCGAGATCAAGAAACTACGAAATTGCTAAAATTGTAATCATTAATCATTAACTCTTTAGAATGGGGTGGAGAACGCAAATACAGGTGTAGCAACAACAAAAAAATCCCAATCGTAGACAATTAAAAGAAAGGCGTATTTAGCGTGTAAATTGGAAATTGACTTTATGATACTCCGTTTATTAAATATATCGAAACAGGACAGGGTGCGTTTTCAAATTTCACATTTGAGCAGACATTAATCCCCGATTGCTGTCCGTCCTCGGATGTACAGATCGTTGATGACCAGAAAACATGTTCTATTCTATAAATTACTATGCACTTATTCATGACCAACATGAACTCTTGTAAATGTATAAGATAATGAAGGGCATGTTGGATCAATGAATACAATTAATACACCCGATAGATCGCACAGTAAATCGTGTATTATTAAAATATTAATGGTCAAATGTTAGTATCAAGGTGGAAAGAAATGTTGTATTGAGAGTAACCCGAAGTCAAATATTTAAATTCTAAAACCCAATATTTACAAGCATTAAAGTTTAGAATATGTTGGGTTTTTTGCTTCTTCGCATTAAAATATAAATCTATTCGGATTAGATTATTTAAATCCTATGTGATACATCATGTATTTTACCTTTCAGTAGAATAGTATTTTGATATCGATAATAATTTAATAAATTAAATCTTATTTTGGGTTGTTTTTTTTTTGTTTTAGAGGCGATAACACTGGAACCAAGTTTTGATGTACCTATGGTAAATGTAACAGTTAAGGAAGGTACCACAGCTATATTACCATGTTCTGTTAAATTTCTTGGACAACATCAGGTAAGGACATTCATACTGCTTCTACTTTTTATTGATATGCCGTCGTATTTCATCATCGTCTTTTGCTCGGAACTGTAGGTAAACCACTAGAAACGTCAACGCTGATTGATTAATCAATATCTGACGTCATGGGGTCAAAAGCCGCTCGTCCGACCCCTGACAAGACCTTCCAGTACAACTTACCAGATCTCCATGTAGTGTAGGCCATCAAAAGTATAAAAAAAACGAAACGAAATATAGATCTGTATTTTAATCAGATTGAACGTTTTAATGGCTAAAGTTACCAAGCCTCCCGTTAGTTACAGGCCCTTTGTAGCATTGCAGAATCTTGTCTCATTGTTCAGATTAGTGAGATGAAAAACCCTATTGAATTTCACCAATACGTTAATTACTTTTAATTTATGGCCCTTGTTCACTTATATGCATTGTCCAGATTAGTGAAATAGAGAACCATATCGAGTTTCAACAATTTCTATCGCACATACTGCTCGAGTGACATTTATCACTTTGTAGAATCTTGTAAATGATCCTGGGAGAATCATCTTCTGATTCACTTTAAATTTATGTGTTTTTGGGGAAGTTATTTTTTTTTTTTTTTTTGGGGGGGGGGGTTATTTTGTGATGAATAACAGTTACAACAATTTCTGATAATTATATATATATATATATATATATATATATATATATATATATATATATATATATAATTATCAGAAATTATATATATATATTATATTATATATATATATATTTATATGAGTTATTGCTATGTATTATGTCATATTTATCCTTGTCAATTTGGCAAAGGACTTCTCTTTATTTTCCAAATACTCCACACTGTGGCCATTTTTATGGACTTAGTAGATGTGGGCGTACTGGGCAAAATATTTGTCAAAATGACAATCTTTTGTGGATTAAGGTCCAGAATATAATTGGCGATTTCACTGGATTTTTACATGTTAATTGTTTGATGGGACGACAATCTGGCTTTGTTTAAAAGTTTTAGGTTATATACAGACAATGTTGATATATATCCGGTTGTGTGTTCTTAGTACAGTTGGTCTTTTAAGTGCACGTCAATGTGTAAAACGTCGGGCCTTGTTACGAACGACTATAGCCGCATCTCCCCATAAATAGTTGGAATCCAGTTGGAAGGACACCGAAGGTTCTTTTCGACCCACATTGGTCACAACTATACCAAGACTTTTTGCGTACGATAGGTCAAACACTAATCTAAAAACAATAATGTGTTTGGTTGGCGTTAGGTCATTCCATATTAAATGTTTCATGACATTTTAATCTCTGTGTCGATTTTTGCGACTTTTGTTTTATGCGGTTATTGTCAGCTTGTAATATGTGTGCTTTATACATTAATACTAGTTTTAAGAAATATTCAAGATATTTCATTTTATTGATGCTGATTTGAACTGTTAAAGAGTGTATCGTAATTAGAAATTTCACTGTATAAGCATCAATAGAAATGGTAACAGTTGTCAATGGCGGAAATGCATTGGATGTAACACATTAGTTGTCTTTCATATGATAATCAGTGCTACAGATGTCAATATTTTGTTACACCAGTGAATACTAAATCAGCCTATTCCCATGTATATAGATTATATACAGGTTGTCTCATTTATTTCATTTTAAAGGTCTGAATAATATGAAGGGAGGTGTTGTTCAAATTATGATATGTAAAAGGCAAGAGCTTGTGGTGACACTATGGCACAAGATGCGAGATGAACACTTAAAGATACATTATATAAGAGATATATCTGCCTACTGTGGGTCTTTTTTCTGGCTTAAAATGTTATATATATAAATTATTTTTAGGCATGTATTCATATGCAAGCCCATAATCGACACTCTAGGACGAACGGGTAGCTGAGCTATTAAGTGAATTAGACAATATCTGTCATATCTTCGTTTAACGCGAAAATGGAATATCGAAAACTTTGTTTTATTATCGTAGCAAATATGGTACTTGACAATTAAGCCTTTTACGTTATTTCTTGTCAAAACTTTAAGAAATGTATCCATTTGCATTGTCTATTTTAAAACTACTATATCAACAACAGTCAACTTTTATCTAAATCTTGCATATGTATATTTAAGTGCATTTTATTTAGTAGACTATAATGATGTGGAGAACGTCTTGTACATTTACTGAATATGAATAGAACCATTGTTTTCTAAATAATGTTTCCAGTACAAGATTGAGAATCATTTGGGAAAATACAGTTTAAAACCATTTTTAAAGTAGGGCGATGTGGATGTAATAATAGGGCGATTAAGTGTCACGCCAAGGTTATAGAAGTCTTCCAAATTATAGCTCAGTATAGAATGATCCTGTTTCGTTTTTTTTAAATCATATAATTCCACTTTGTGTATCGTATCTTTAATTCCATCGATAGCCGTCATAGTTCGGACACTTTTTCAATATGGCCATACATTATCTTTCAAGCGAGAAATACCGTTTTTATATTTGGACATGTTTGATGTGTTTTATTTCTCGATGGAAATTTAGCTGTCAGTTATGATTGGGTTCATCGTGTAAGGGCGATCAATAGCCCGACTCTAATTAGAAGCATTGTTAATAGAGGCAGGACCTCCTATAGAATACCACCACCGTTCAATGCATAAATCAAATGTTTCATTGCCTTTCGCAGGTAATTCCAATAAAAGAAACACCCGGCTCACCATGTTAGCCAACTGAAGGCATTAAAGATTAAATCTTTCCCATCGAGCGTAAGTCTTAAAAAATGTTACAGATATCGCGAAGTAAGAGATAGGCGATATGCTATATCAGAGATAAGAGGTCTACTGTGATCAAGATTGTAGCAGAAATGTGAAGAGAAAAAAAAAGATGTTTTAGTGTAAGATTTGTTGTCATTTTCTTGTCTATCAAGTTGAAACAGACCGTAATCTATGTTAGTTTTGAAATGGCGGCATCTCGATTTTAGGATTAATATTGAATTTTCTTTCCAACACTACGAAGCTATAATGCCATTAACAATAAAGTCGAATTGAGAAATCCCAGTGACACAAATATTCAAATAATAATTTTAAAAATAATAAAACATCCACAATAAAATTTGCTTTGAATAAATATCAATGACTTCAATAAATTTGTAGGAGCCACGGTGGTCAAGTGAGTAAGACGCTGGCTCGCTAGCCTGGAGTTCGCGGTTTAATCCCGATGTTGGCCAAGAAAATGTTCATCAGGATATTCCGACGTAAAAGATCCCTTGGCAGTTGGAAGTCGATATAGGACGTATAGGCAAGATTTCCCTCATTCCTTGCAGAACAGTTGGACGTTAAACCCCATTTCATTTCAATAAATTTCAATCATGATTATTTTTCTAAAAGCACTGCAACAAAACTAACAGTCCCCCTTTAGTTTGGTTGAAATATATGTAGGATGTATCTGTTTTCTGAAACCAAAATCTAATCAACTCGGCTCCCACTACGCCATTTAATTTACTCTTGTGTTAAAGTTTTCTTTGGTTTTGATCCTGAAGCAGTTGGAGTGACGATCGAATAATAATTATATAGTATCACAATCAAGTCTGTTGGAGACTTGGTACTCCTATAAATAATTGATTATTTTGCTAAAACATTTCCACTGATTCTCTCTCTGACTTGTAAATCAGAATATACATTTACTTCAAAAAATAAATTAGTTTTTAAATAACATATGTCTCAGATTTCACTTATGTTCAGTCTTAAAGGGCCAAGTTCTAGTTCTCTGTTTATTTTAGTTACATCATAAAAAGAAAATTGAAAACATAAAACATTAAAATAGATTGTTACGCATATTTTCCATTTGATTAATACAAATATATATTCATTAATAGTGAAACGGACAATATAATTACATTTCATAATCTTTACTGTTAAATTAGGAAATGAAATGTGGTTTAACGTTCAACTTTTCTGCACCAACACGGATAATCAAGACGGCTTTTATAAAGGTCAAAATAGAATAGTGAAGCGGATTCTCATGTGTTATTACGTTTAAATTTTTGTTTTGGAGAAGTCGGCTTGTTTACTGATTTTAGTTTCATTGTTAGCTAAATTGTAAAAATGTAATTGTTAATTTTGTCTTTAAAGGGTTAAATCTCTTTGATTTAGGGCGAAATATGGTATTGAATTGGGTTAATCTTCTGTGTTGTTTAGCTCAGTGCAATGAGACACGGAGAGAGAGAGAGAGAGAGAGAGAGAGAGAGAGTTTAACGTCCACTTAACACAAACTATGTCATTTCGGGACTAACAAATGGTTCAATTTTATTTCAATAATTCACTTGCGCGTAGGAGTCTATAGCAGTGGGATGAAATCGTAGGACCCGGAGAAAACCCACGAGGTTGGACAGGCGACCCTACTCCTTGTCATGTACAACCGGGGAACCGAAGCCATGCCAGTTGACTCAATGACAGACCTTAATGATCCAGCGCTCACATGCTAACCATTCGGCCATCCAACCCCACTACACGTATGGATATGACGTCAATCATGTTGGAACTTTATGCGTGTATGCATAATAGAATCTGTCGTTGATAATCTTGTTTTACCAGAATTACTTATGATTCTAGGGGGTGACTCAGCGTTAGCAGAAAAAACATAACGTGTTATAGATAGTTTACATTTCCATACAGACACGACATAAGGATATTATTATGCAGGTTTATGCAATGCTTACAATATACAAACGAATAATTGATGTTTCACAAGCTTATATATCGTGTCTCCAAAGAACCAAACAATGGTTGTTTTTTTGTTGTTTTTTTAAATTTGGTAAAGACGATATTTTTTATGCGGGTGTCATGGGGGAAATTTGGTATCGGATTTAAATAAATTGTAATTCAAGGAATAGAAGAAAAATATATTTTTGTATACTCGGTTATAAGAGGAATATATGGAGACTCAAACTAAGCGAATAAACAGAACGGCGTACAGAAATGCAGTTATTTCGAAATGCAGTATAACTGATTGATGGTTTCAACTTCAAGTAGTCTTTTCCAATAGTAAGAACTGGTCCGAGAGAGTGTTGCAGCGGTATGCAACTTCATATATGTGTTAGTACACACATAAAGGGGTACTTTCGGTTATAAAACCAATAATTTTTACTTCATTCCAATAAACATCAATCAATTTAAAAACTAGAAAATAATAGATTACCATTTCAGAAATTATAATAGCTGTTTTTCCGGGTTCTTCCTGGAAGTTATCACTACAGCAGGCATTTTGTTTCCAAACACTCATACTGGTCAGGAAAATGCTGATTCCTGTACAGTTAAAATATATTTATATCTTTTTAGTTAAAAGTGGTTTTGGTCATAGATATGGTAAATAGGTAAACATAAGTTCAATCCTATATTAGTTGGGTAGATTGTCTTAAAATCATCAGAATTTGGAACATGCTGTGAAAAGAGTAGAGGCTGTGTCTATATTTACAACCAGATCGTATAAAGTGTTGTTGAGTAAAAAGTTTTAAACAGTTCTTGGAAGAAAATCACACTCTATTTGTGGAACGTATTCATGTATTCATCTTATCAGGCTTAATATAGCATAACAAACAAAGCAATTTGTTGCCTTTTGATCGTTTTCAAAGAATAACAATAACCAATAAAAATACAGTCAGAAGTCCGGAATTATCGATTTTATACGAAACTTTCTGTTTATTTTGACAATTATTCCAATGACATCATCAAAGTAGATAGCAGAAGTAGAATAATACACAAGTGGCAAGAAATAAGCAGTGTGACCTTTCCTTCCTGATCTCACGTGGCGGTCTAATCCCATTTGCTTCTGTGCTTTTGTTTTTAAGTCTGCCACCTCGTACTCTAATCACGTTTACAGAAAGACTTAATTGCGCTTTTACATTTAAAAGTTGCTATGTATAACAGTTTGCAATAACTTTCTTTAGTAAAATAAACTCATTTTCGACACCTTTCTAACGAGGTGTTATTTGTATAAAGAAGTTGTTCTTAGTAATCTCCTAATTCCCTGTTTTTATATGAACCTTTTCAATAAAGAAATGAGAAAATGGTTCCTGTGAAATAGATGAACACCGATGACTCATTGTAACCTCTAGATTACTTCTATAGGTTGAAAAGATAGAAACAAATAAATGGTGGAAAAGTTTTAAAAGTTGAAGTTGGCAGCTTTTGTGATGTTAGATTATCTTTTCGGTGTTCTACCCAGGCTTCAGGTGTCCAAACTAGCGCCCAATTTGGCGATACGCAGTGGCAGGTGATGTGTACTACTTCCCATTTTAGACGTTTGCCTAGCTAAAAGACGTTATTGTAATTTTGTATTTATTCCAATGGGCTTGAGTTTCACGATTAAGGCCACGCTTACTCTCTACTGAACAACTGATTCCACTCTTTATGTGTGGATTCTTCATTAATCCACTGGAGTTACTTATAACTTGAGCTTCTGATGTTTAGGTTCAAACTATCGCAACTTTTTGGTTCAGGCCATGTTGGGTGTCGTACACGAATCACAGTGCCACTTCTTAAGAGTGTTATAAAAATGATTTAACATGATGGTTTATTTATGTTCGAAATATCGGAGAGGCATAGGAAATCAAATAAATAATGTGTGTAAATCCTATTATTATTATCTTCGTCATATAGGTTTAGTACGTAAATATATTACAGGCGAAGCAACAAATACTTTAAACTGGTTACATTTCGTCTTGACAGTCTTAACTTGCATGCTAGTTGGTCTTTCTGGCCGCTTATTGCATAAATGACAAAAACTTAAACATGCATTATACAAGAGCTAAATCTGCCTATTTGCAGGTCTTTCTTTAGGCCTGAAATGTTATCTAAACTATTATATTAGACATTGATTAACTTATCCAGACCATAATCAACTCTAGATGGCATCGCTAGTCTGCGATCTTTAGTGGATTATGAGCCGATTTACTGCATAACTTTCCTTCACGATTTAATGATTAAATGGATACTCGAGACTATGCTGTTTATCGTACTGACTTTAGTAATGATGATCGAGGCTAGCCGGAAATTTCAACCGCTTAGTTCTCGGTTCATAGTGGACCAATTTGAATGAAATTTTCAGCAAATTGCCTTTTTATTATCTAGTTTTTAACCATTATAATGAGAACTGCCAACTCGTTATCGAATCTCCCATAATGTATCTTTAAGATATATCAAGAAATTTTGGTTAATTTTTATAAACCCTATATAGATGTGCTATATTTATATAAATAACAATTTATTTTGCAATTTCACAAGCCCTTGCATATTTTATTTACATGACGTTATTTCATTTATATGATTTTACACTATTATTGTTAAGCGCATTCCAGCAATTCATAACGAAATATGCACTATATAAATTACATAATAATCAATAAATAGATAACAGTTACAGCATGATATATAGCATATCTAGCACCACTGTAAGAATTATCTCAAGAAACAACTCAAGATGACAAACATTTCAGGTCGCTGTGATGTAATAAGGTTAGGGCGCGTGATTGTTGGCGAGATTGTAGGTTAGGGTTAGGGTAAGCTTTACGGTTAGGTCCAGGATTAGGGTTAGGGTTGGATTTAGCGCTAGCCCTGTTTACATCTCGTGACCTTTGACCAAACTTGAAATTGGCCTTATGAAATACACCTAACTTGATGACTTGGGGTAATTTTATTTAGTGTGCGGAATACGGATTGGCATGGGGTTTAATGTCCTACTTTTCTACACTGTACGGGTGAATGAAGTGTGCACAGGATCCCAGCTTTTCGTTCAACATGAACGCCTACGCTTATCTCTGTCGTGCCCCTACACCCTGCACCACTGACAAGGGAAAATCATGCTGGAAAATCATTAGATTTCTCGGCCAACATCGGGATGGAACCCCGGATCTCCTGGTTTTTGAACCAGCGACTTACTAACTCCGCCATCGCGGCTTTCCGGGACTAAAAGAACTACATTTTATTTCCGCTGTAGAATTACATTTTGGTAGTCTTTTCTTTCTGTTTTTAGAATGCGTGCCGAATAATGTACAAACCAAATCACATACAAGATGTATCCCAATTGACAGCACGACATTATTTAACGCGATATGATTTTCTTTCAGGTTATATGGACTGATCAGTGGTCGACTTTGCTAACATTTGAAGATCGTCGTATTATTGATGATGAAAGAATCAGCGTCGAGCGACCTTTTACAAAAGATTGGAATCTACATATAAGACATGTGAAATATTCTGATCAAGGAATTTATAATTGTCAAATTAATACAAGTCCTGTAAAAATAAAGACGGTAAACTTAAAAGTGCAAGGTGAGTTCGAATCGCTGTCTTATAAAACTTAAATATAGGAAGAGTTGACTATTCTCCTTGAACAACTAAATGAAATTCTAAAAACTAATATAACTATCGCGATTTGTGTTTTCTCGTTCATTTTACCTGATTTTGATAGACTCCGCACGTATTTAGGGTATCCATATACAATCTAGCCTGTGACCACAGTTTGCCAAAGCCTTTACAGATAAACGTTCTATTCAATACGTATCATTTAATGTATAACAAATCTATTCATATACATGAATGAACAGATCGCCTTTTCCAAACGATTACAGCTGCCAATGGATAAGTTTATACAAAAAATCTAATTAGGACCTACATGTATATACTGACTGTAATCAAAGATATAAAATTTAATCTATCAATTTCAAGGCAATGATCAACTCCAAAAGCATTCTCTAGCACAAAGACTATGAGATTATTTTATGGCCTTACGTAGATCATGGCTGCGACCTACAATTTTGTAATTAACTAAATATGGATTGCCACCAATTTAGCAGTCTTTGGTAGCTGGAAATGAAACGATTTTCATTCTGTCTTCAACCAACAAGACGTAATTGTATTTTCTCATTGTGCCAATTTAGTTTCCGCGAACGTTCTATGGGTTTAAGTGGCTCAAATAAAAGACTTGACGCTTGAAAGTGAGGAGTTCCGCTTAAAACTGGCTTCTTATGTCAAATGAAGATGTCTCTGGACTAGAAATGTTATTTTGTATCTGTCGATTGAGTGCCGTGTTGAAATTAGAATCGAAGTCTTCTGGTCAACGGTTCAACGACATTGTTTTTCTCTTGTTTAACTAAGCAATGTTAAATCGAGATTTTGTTAGTTTGACGTCTGTGCTATATGCTGCTGGCCAAGCCTGTCACCTATTCATTTTTCAGCTTAATCATAAAGGTCGGCGCTGGATATTAATACCAGACTCCTTTCTTGTAATATCCACTTTATTAATCGGTAGAATATCTATTATAATTATTCTGTGCGTAGACTATGATAATGGTAGGGGGCGGCGGGACCTAACCTCGTTGACCTACCCCTGTAATTTTTACTTTTTACATTCGGCTACTGACCAGAGCTACAGTTACTTAGGTTTTTTTTCTTGAAGAATACAATTTTATTTCATATATGGGTGCTAGTGTTTTTATTTATCCGAATTTGAAAGCAAAACATCGTTTAAGACAATAAATGAATTCATGTCTCATCCAGTCGATGTGGGCTTTCGTTGATCTTCTAAATTATTGTAGATTCAACATTGTTGTAATATGTAGGGTTGGGGTGGGTATATGGGTTCTAATTTGGAACTTAATATAGGATAGAGCTAACTTGGGTTTGGCTAAGTCAAGTATGGGAAACTGGCATTTATTTTGAGAAGTGTTTTAACACACAATCCGTAACAGATCGAATACGCAACAGAGACTGATTGGTTTTTCTGTCTGTCTGTATTTTTTTGTCAGTAGTCAGTATGTTTTTGTGTATTGTTATCTAACAGTGTTATACCTTCTTATATTGTGTTTTAGTACCAGCCGTTATCATTCACCATTTATCATCAGAAGATCAGACGGCTAAAGAGGGCGAAACCGTCACACTGGTTTGTAATGTCACTGGCATCCCCATGCCAACAGTCACGTGGTATCGCCATAGATCTAGTGAGAAAGGGTTCGAGAAAGAGAGTGAGTTCTGCCCTGGCACTAATAGTAAGATATTTTGTGTTGGTGCATTTCTGCATGCTACATTAACAAAGAGAACCAGAGTTCTGCCTCGCTGCTAGTCAATTTAGAGACACCATGTCACGACATCAAAATAGGCCTATCATGTTCATTAACAGAGACAAAAGCACAAAAATTAGGATTTGGTTAAGCAATTAAAACGGCATTAGGTCTATATGCTACAAGAATGAATATCAAACCATAAAACAAATGATTTAATTGGCTTTCAAATGCCACTATTCAGATAATTTGACAACAGGTAAGCCAATACAAATTACCAAGGCTGTGATAACGTTATGATAAGTTGGAATAGGTCTGTAAAATATGTAGGCCTAGTTTTTGCGCAAATGTAGCCTACTGCATGCTTCGAATCACAACTAAATATCACAATTACACTATACGAATCTATAGATATTAAAAGAATGAGTATTAGGTAAGTTGATTTTTTTCAAGAAAATTACTAACGAAAATAAAAAAAAAACAGCTTAGATTTTGATTTTTATAATTGTAGGCCCAAAATCAAATTACGTTATAATCCTTAATCCGCGATCAAAAAAAAGGATTTTCAGCATGGTGTGGGCATGTTTTTTTGTCGCTTTTTGGCATTGTTAAAAATTAAACCAAAACACTTTCATTCAGTATCATCATGATGACAAATATTACATATTATTCATTCAAATGAATATCAACCATCATTTTCGATTATGTTTTTGTTCTTTGGATGAAGTATTTTTAGTATATCTTAATCAGGTATTTTTGAGAGATAATTAGAAGAGAACTAATGTTACGCATGCTAAGTTATATTTTAGTGCTACTAATACAATTTACTAACCAATAGTCATTGAACAATGACTTGCATGTTAGTCTTCGTCTTTTTGAAAGAAAATTCAGTGCTTGTATTTACCTTTCTTATTTTTATAACCTTTGATTTGATTAACTTATTAAAAAAAATACGTCGGTTTTAATAATAATCGACCCAGACACCACAACCTCTTATGCAGGTTCTACTAAAGTGTTTGTGTTCATTTAGAGAAACAACATTTTTATACTGTAGAGAATGCAGTCACATGAATATGAGCGCATAATAAAGTCAACATAGGAAGTACACAAGGGAAGGCGCAATTCACCACGTCGAAATAAGATATCTAAACCTGCTGCCGTTATTTAAATCCAGTTTCTAACAATAAGTATAAGCTTGATTGCCACACGTCTTGGAAGTAATACAGCTAGGAAAGGATTGCTTTGAAGGGCCTATAATTGTTTGTAACCTTAAAATAGACGAAAATGGGTTTAAACCACATATTAATGTAATATGAATGTACATAAAGTGATTTATATTCAATTTTTTAAAACAATATTGTTAATTTTAATCAATTATGTTCGGTGAAATACGTGAACAGTCCAAATTGAACCACATTTGTCTACGCCTGCTTAGTCCATTTTATACGTTATTTTATTATTATTTTGTCGCTTGTGAATCAGCCATTACTCATTACTTTGTCTGGTGTAGGATACGTTTTTCTATTTTTATTATTAGAAATGGCGTCCGAATACACGGCTCGTGTACTGATTATAAAATGTTCATTGTGTCTGAAATATTGGATATTAGGATCCCATATCTTCTGGGTACGATAATAACATCATTATTGATTGAAATGGACCAAAATTGAAATCTAATTAGTGTTTTTAATTTCGACTGTTGTGGAAAATATTAAATTAGAGGTTTAGCCCCTTTAATACAGCATCTAGGGACTTGTTCTCCACTCAATAAAAATATTACTTCTATAATGAAGACACACATTGGTGTAGAACCTTAATAAGAGGTTGACGGTACTCTCTGGTTTGATTAAAAAGAAAACTGATTAATTTCCTGAGTTATTTAATCACTGGGATTTTAAGATAAGGAATTGCTGGCACTTGACCTGTTTTAACAAAGTGTTTGAAGACGGCTCGAAAAGCCTTGTTTTGATTTTATTAAGAAACTTATTATTTAAAAATTTTTAAACTGATTTCGATCCGTCTTTTGTCTTAACCAATGTTTTATCCACGAACTTGTCTCTAACAACCAATAACTAACAACATTTCACTTACTTCTTTGTTCTAGCACATCATTTTTCATTATTCCAATAACTAACAAAATGCCTCATTATACCTACCATAACCCACAATCATACAAAATTACTGTTTGATTATGGGGTAGTCATTTTCATACCAACTGTTTTATTTTAATAAAATAAAATAAAAGTTTTTTGATATTTATTCCATGATTATGACATTTTTGATTGATCTTTGTACATCATTTTGCATTTTGTTTTGATAAATACATGTATTTTTACTCAGAAAAGTTTTGCTTCCAGAATTTTTTGTATTAGATGTTATATCATTCTGTTTTTCAAATATGTATACATTCAATATTTTCAATATCATGTAGTACAATTGGCGTGTTGTATCAAATCCTGAGTAAGAAAACAAAACATCTGACAAAATAGATCCCATACAGTTTTAAATCTTATCCATGACCTTTAAACTTTTCCAGGAATAGGTGTCAGTGGTGAAGTATTGATAATACATAATGTTAGTAGATATTGTGGCGACACTTATGAATGTGTGGCCTTTAATGGCGTCCCACCAGCAGTAAACAAACAGATAAAGGTTGGAGTGGAATGTAAGTCTGTTCTCTAAAATCTGACATTCATTCCAGAACCTTTCTGATAAATGATTGCAAGGAAAACAGGAACTACAACATAAATGAATGTCAATGTTAAAATCCAATGTACAGTATATTGTACATGCTCCAAGTTCTGCGCAGGATCGGTAGATTCCGTGCGGGACATCGGTGCGGGTCGAAATTTCTTTGGCCGACCATAGTAATTATATAGATAAACTAGATTTATTTTAATATCTGCAAAAGAGATACTTAACACTTAGATTAACGTTTGTCTATTCGCTCTTTAAAATTTACTTTAGCTGTTCGTCTCTTCTGAAATAACAATAGAAATGGGGTAGGTTTTTAAAAATATTCTTAGCATAAGTTATTCGTTTTTACAGTTCAGCCGGAAGTCAGATTACCAAACAGACGAATTGGTCAGATAGTGGGCAAGGAGACTATTCTAGAATGTGTTATAACAGCCTTTCCACAGGCTGTCAGTGTTTGGTTATGGGAGGGCACGGAACTTTCAAACAGTCGGAAATATCGGATAGAGATATACGATGAAGGAGAACACACCATCACCCTAAGTTTAAGAATACGAGCTTTGGAGTATTCAGATTTTGGTCGGTATAGTTGTATGGCATCCAATCCGTTAGGTACCGATAAGGAAGAAATGGTTCTATACGGTAAGTAATGAATATCAATTTTCTCAAACCGAAAAAAAGTATTCTTTGTCAGAGACCAGAATAATAATATACAGATCTGTAGTTATCAGTGTTTGAAGTTTTGACAAGATTTCTTATTATCGTAGCAACGATACTAAGTCTCGATCCATTTTATCGTTATATTTTTAAATAACACGCGTGTTCAAATCCATTTAAATCTCAGCCATCCGGTGGTCTGGGGAGTTGATTATAGGTTTGTCATGTATAAATGTCTAAATAAACGTTTATATAAGATTTGAAGCCAAAATAAAGACCTGCCATAGGCAGATTTAGTTTTACATACTACATCTTCAATTATCAAAAACCAAAGAGCACTCACATACAAATTGAAAATTGTTTATAGCGTACTGCTAAGATATCAAACGTGTTTGTGTCATTTTGAAAGAGCAATATACTGTGTGAGAGGTGACTTATAACTTATATACTGTGGGTTGGTATCATTAAATATATAATGAAGCAAAAACAAAAGTATAATGTTCAGGATTCCCTCTAAATGTATTGATGTCTTTCATTATTCCCAGTAATTGTGTTGCTCAATCTGCTCTTAATGTAGTAAAACCAATGTCAGTTAATTATAAGTTGTAAATGGAAACCTTATTTGGTTAATATTGTATAGATAATCTTATAACGATCAATATATATACGTCACGGTCAGACTCGTTTATTAATAAACCATAAACATATGACAATTACGATTGCTGTAATATTCTAACGACCATCCATAATGTTAGTTCAAGACTACAACGATATCGGAGCAGACGCCTTCGCCTTATATAGATTTGTATAAGCTCAGATTTCTACTTAACTCATACGGATATACATGTTGATATGAAGATCGAATGCTTTAACAGGAATCATGCCAATTTAAAGGGTAATTTGGTTCCTGTAGATGTTGAACTTGGTCAATAAAGAGAGTACTGGAAATTTAGAACATAGTGTACATTCATTAAACACCATGGCCAGACCATGATCTTAGAAGCCTTTCAGAATTTTGAATAATGCATTAATTCCCATACATTTGCCAGATAAAAAATGTGGGACTTGTATATTGCACGAGAAACGCCATTGCAACTCCTTCACAAGTCTTCACCTAAAATATTTTATTTAAATGACACGACATTTATTTTTATGAATAAATAAGAGAAAAGTTAACGGTATTTTAAATTGTTTTTCAAGGACAGCAAATTTATATTTTGTAAAGCCTGCATAGATAATTATTCCAGGAGTAAAGAAAATTAAATGGAGTATCAAAAGCCATGACAGCAACCAGAGTTGTAGGCGTTGATATTATGAGAATGATACATATACTAGCTATTTGTTTCCTAATTATCTTTTATCTTTTCAGACTACACGGCACACAGGTCAACTACTACGACCACGACACCCGCTCCTGTAACAACAGTTAACACTAGAATAGTTACTCTACACCCGCACGCTACTCAGGGGCCATTAAACCCGCCCATAATACCCTACAACTATGATAAATATGAAAATACAGATTTCGTCACACAGCGACCCAGGATTACCCCGTTTCCGAGTCGTCCTGTACATGCCGGTAAAGGTTTTTCTGCGTCTACCAAAACAAGTAACCACAAGCTGTGCCTAGGCAACTTGATGCCTGTGTGTACGTTCCTAGTCTCTCTTCTGTTATCAAAGAGAATGGATATTAATATTTTAGTAACATAGAACATAGATCAAAGTGATCATTCCCAAAACCTAATTCTTATTCGTATATTGTCATATTCGGTAAACACCGTGTTCAATTTATGAGTTAACTATCGTATAAAATAGATTATTGGGCGTGTCTGGTAAAACAAAAGTTTGGGGACAGACCCTATGATCAAAATACGCCACTGACTGGGTCAGTACATCCCTCCAGTAAACATATCAGCTACAATATCAGCTACATCCCTCAATGTTCGACCATTTTCAAATGACAATTATAGCACTAGAATTATCCATTGACTTTGATAATATCTGTTCTTTGTGTTGTGCACACACCCTTATATGATACAGAAGGTCTGCACACTTGCATGCGTATAGATGTCTTTCACATAATAGTTGTTTTAGATTTGAATAGAAATATAATCTGTATATTTAAAGGCGGTCTTGTGCAATAAAAAGTCGAGTCAAGTTGTCCCCAACCAATAGTCCAAAAGACGAGCTCAAAGGATCAATTTTGCCACGTCTTTTCACATGAGAAAAAATAAAAAAAGAAGAGTAACAGAGAGTTGTAGGCCTATCAGTCGTCCAAGAGATAGTAAAACAGCCCCTATCCCGATGAGCTGTGTGATAAAAGAAAAATTAAGTTTGAAGTTGTAGATCTGCCTAAGTACATTGGGATTTTGTTCGGCACAGTTGGATGTTATGTAGATAAAAGACATCAATTTCATGGTTATAGTTCATACAAATTATCGTCTATTTTCAGGTTCGGCGGCGAAAACTCTAGAGTCCAGTATGATTGACAACTGTTCACTGACCGCACCCTCCACTTACGTCATAGCAATAACTTTCATTTTTTTCCATAAAGTACTTCGAGATATGTTTCAGTAACAATATGTGTTCCGTGTCGATCACTGTTGCTCACAAAGAAGTGAAATAAATACATAAGATAATTTGGATGTGGAAAACATAGAATTTGCAACTATTGAATTAAGTATTGTGGAATAAAACTAATCAAGTACGGACTTTATTTAAGATTACTGATTGGGAGTGAACGTGAATACGTTACTTTTACCGGATATTGATTACAACGTCCACTCCTGACGTCATATCATTTAAATATGGACATGCGCAGAAGTAAGCATCAACAGAAATGCAATAATCCTGTTATGAGTGGTTAAGTGTGTACGTGAATTAAGCCCATGTTTTCAGATCGCGTTTAGTTTGCATAAATATCGATAAAAGGACACGGCAACATTCGCCATGTCATAAAACAATGAGATGGAGTGTCAAACAACAATTGTATTTTGCGCTATGGTAGCTTCTCACAATGTTTCATTTCATGTGGCCGTGTTGCACTTCCACCTCATCTGATATCATAGCTTCAAGATGATCATAACCTTCTTTAATCAGTTTGCGCAGTGCGATTATTCATAATAAAGACTAAACAAGTGAAAACCTCACCGGGATAAGGTGTACATGACGAAACAGACGCCTTGGAAGTTAAGCTATCGACGTGTTTTCGTTTAAACGAATGGGTGTTTATATTTAAAAGAATGACAACAGAGAAATAACGTTAATACTGTTAAAACAAAATCCTTATTATTAGGCCTAATTAACCAAAATATCATAACTAGTCGCTGTAAATTTGTAATTAAGTATAACTATAACAAGTACAATAGAGCTATATGGACCAGGAACCGGGCATGACGTCCTCGCAACGGGTCAATCGATGCGCAATTAACCAAGGAACAAGCATTTTGATCGCTCGTTTTATTCCGAGTATACTTAAATTGGCTGAAAAGGAACAACAATAGAATGAATAGCGCTTGGGGCCACGTTCCTCGTCCAAAAGTTTTTGTTTTAGGGAGAAAGCTTGTCATTATTTTAAATAATCGTAAGTTACATTCGAAATAAATACAGTTTGTTGTGTTTTTGTTTTTCCCATTTCAAAGCATGGTGATAATACTAGTTATTTCTTAAATTTTTATAAACTGTAAATATAACTGTACTTATAATATGTATCTATAATTATTAACAAATGTGACGTACGTGTAGTTTACTGTAATAATCGAATTCAAATTCAATCTTTTTTTCGTTTCATTTTTATAGTCCGGAAAATTTTTAAACACGGACTATGAAACGAAAATTTGAAACGAAATAAGATCTATTTGAATAGGCGTGTCTATTAGAATTAGATAACTGGGATTGAAATATATTTATATTGAAGGATTGCTTTGACCATTTAATAAGTAACACCATATTAAGCACTGTTGTTTATCATACAACATTAGTTCTACTTTGTATGTTACACATTAAATGTAAGTATAAAATGTATTTGCAAAATTAAGAAGATTGGACCAATATCATTTGAGAATTGTGAATACACCAAAAACAGAAAATTGTAAAAAAAAAGATAAAAAAAATCAGCGTAGTTGCAACGTATGTTTGGTAGCTGTAACAACTAATGGTGTGTATCTGCGAGAAAGTTGGCCTGTAGATCAATACATTTATACAATTTTTCTGTAACTTTGTGTATGCATAATATATATGTATATATACAACAATCTATGTATTAATGAATATAAAGAAGAGTTTTGTCATGGATCACGGAAGTATCATGGTTATGGATTCCGCGCGTACTACAAAATTGGTGAACTTTGGTATAAAGTAAACTAAGAAAACTGCACAACAAAAATAGACAAAACCAGAATTACAACCAGCAACACAAATATATTAAATAAGAACATCGAGTGCAAAGAAACATCCATAATCCAAATGTTTAATGAATAAACGGATCATTTTTGTTAAATCAAAGTTCTCGAATCTCAAATCATGTCAGTCAAAGTCTTATAGTGAAATCCTGTTTGTAAATATTATTGTTTTCGTATCATTAACACTATCTATAATAAGGCATATAATACGCAACATCATAAAAAATACAAAGTGTGTGCAGCTTTAAATGTATATATATTTAACAAATTCACACAACCTGGTATTTTTTCGGTTAGTAAATGTAACATTAGTGATGAAATTATTTTTTCTCTGTTTATTCTTTATATCAACGAAAAGCATTAAATTTTGGCGATTCCAACGCAATATTTATGATCTTCTGGGCGTTGTAGAACATAATACTAGTATGTCAAATATGTTCTAGTCAAGTATTTCACTTTTATTCTGTGTGTTTTTTGTAAATTTTTCACTGATAAATGTTGAAGTTTTACTTAGAATTTAAAATTTTACTTATATGTTTAACTATTATGTTATGTTTCTGTATATACGATTAAAGCAAACCTCGTCATATTAAAATATGTGTGACTTCTACCAAAGAACATAATGTTGCAAATAAAACGGTTTTCTCTATCCTATTTTGTTGTTTTGTTGTGATGTTTGTGTTGCATCTTTATCATGAACAGGGGGTGGCCGATATAGTCTGTCATTGAGTCAAGTGGAGTGGTTTCGATTCCCCGCTTATGCGTGGGTTTTCTCTTGGTCCTCCGATTTCCTCTCATTGCTAAAGAATTATTGAATTAAAATGGAACCGTGTGTTAATAACGAAATTACTTAGTTTGTGTCGAGTGGGCGTTAAACCCCATTTGGAGAGAACTTATTTTGCCTTTTGTTCTATTCAATTCAGTTTATTTGATAAAATATTGTTTAAACTAAACCCCATTGCTCTCTCTCACTCTCTTTATCATGAGCAGAGGTTCAAAGATAGTGGGGATATTTTTAATTTAATACTTTTAAGCTTCTTTTGTTTTATTGTGATACCTGTAAAATTGTTGCTTCTTTATAGTCATACTCCTCGCAGTTTTTCGTTTGATTAAAGCTAATCTCACTTAACACTGATGTAATGATAGCAAATTTATGTTCCAAATTATGACTGGTCAATAGTCCGATTAACAACCAATAGCTAACTGCGTAACAATATCATTACGCTTTAAACACAGCTCCAAATTGGACCGAATATGCTTACATAACTTTACGTCATGACTCACGATTATATTATGCCCATTTAACCAGTGCATAGCAGAATATTGCAGAAAAACTAATTGCGTGACAAACGAGGCTATCAATACGAATACAATGTAAACAATACTGTTTGGAGGCGAACAATACTTTCACCGTTTTTAATACCTTAAATCACTATCCAAAGTTTTAGGGAAAATCCCAGATTAAACGAAGGGCTGCCATATTGCTGTACTTGGGATAGATTTGATTGAACGGGAAGAATCGACACACTCCCTCAAAAGCTTAAGTATCAGAAGCCAATCCAGCAATGGCCAGGGGGGGGGGGGGATTTATCGGGCCATTGCTTCAGGAATATGCTTTATAGCATGAGCAAGGAGGTGATCAGAATGAAAGGGGTTCAAAGAATGCGGAGTGTCTTAAGTTGAACATTTGGTTTCATGAACAAATGTTTTTGTTTTACCTGCTGACTAGCTAGCCAGCATGTGTGCTAGCCAATGCAAGCCTACAATGCAAATAACCATGGTAAAAATTAGAAATCATTAACAGAGTTCATTAAATGGGTACTGGAATAAAACTCATCTGGGTTAAAAGCCAAGAGCTAAATAGAAGTGATTATAAGGGCTAACGTGCTAACTTTAACCCTAGTCTTGGGAAGATAGGGGTTGTGATATCCTGCCTGCATGTAATCATAATTATTACACTGACGATTATTGCACCGTGTCAACAATGATCCATAATGTGCCACCAAGTAACAGGAAATGTTCAGCCCCCTGAAAACCTGACAGTAAATCCTAACCTTAATCCTTGTTTGCTGGGACAGCGGCGCCATGGCCTATTCTTGTTTCGAATTCCAACTGTCTAGGGTTCTTTTCCGCGCACACCAACGTGTCCTGAATAGCCACTATGGCTCCCAAGAGTAGTTGTATACCAATGGAAAATAATTATGTGACGTGATTGGTCTTGAATAACTAATTTTAGTAATAGTGACAGGATAGGACAAAAGTATGAAAAAGGAAAACAGCTTTATTTTTTGGCCTAAATATATTTTAGAATTCAGAAAATTTTATATCGGCCAATAATATAAGTTTTTATTTCTATTAAATGGCATGATAACCGCGGCAAATAATCCAATTCTCAAATATCATGGAGTTATTTCCCTTACATCAAAGATCCAAGGAAAGAAAATAAGGCGCAAGGTAATGTATTATGTCGTTGTTTGTTTCCCCTCTTTTTCTAGAAAGAAATAACCATAGCTTGAAAATTTATTTCATGTTAGTTTAATTGACTTTTTCGTTCGATAATTGTTAGATTTTAAAGGTTTGGGTAATTGAAATGCTAACAAATTTAAGAGTTGTGTTCTTGGAAATATATTTTTATTTATGATTTTGATTAAAGGGAAATAACTCCAATTAGTATTGAATATTTGCCCCTTTTTAAAAATATTCATGCTGTGCTGCTTTAGTTTAATTTTGTTTTATTCACCCTTATGTAGAAGTATATTGTTGTCACCTATGCCCGTCGACCCATTTGCCCACACTTACTTGTGAACGCGATTGAGTTTACATCATCCAGAATTAGCTTTTGGGCGCAATATTTATTAAATTCATTCTCTTTGACTTTACTCCGTATTTAAAGACAGTAGCTAAGTCTAGCTCAATATCATCCAAAGTCTTCGACATTGAAAACAAACATCAGAGAATGAGACCATATATCATGAAAATATAATTGTCTAATTGTAAACTGAAATCTATCGCGGTTTACGTTTTGAATACTGTAAGACCTCGTGCAATAAATTTTGTGGAAAACTGGTTTTAATTAATGATTGATTCATTCAGAAAATTCGGGTGACAAATAAAATTTTCGGGCAAATACTAATAGCCTCATCCACCACCCCAACTGAGATTGACCCCCCTACGCCTATGTGGCTAAATAGATTTGTATTCATTAATAATAAATAATGCAATATTTTATTATGTTCCTTATCTGCGTCTTTTGTAGTTTTAAAGATAATTTTGAAAATGCCGTTTGGACAAATTGTGATCGGCCCTCCAGCCACGGGAAAGACGACCTACTGTTGTGCTATGACGGCGCACTTTGCAAAGAATGGAAGAAAAGTTGCTGTTGTAAACCTCGATCCAGCTAATGACATTTTACCTTACAAACCCGCCATAGATATTGCCGATTTGATAAAACTATCTGATGTGATGGAGAAATTAAAACTGGGCCCAAACGGTGCACTTATTTATTGTATGGAATTTTTAGAAAAGAATTCCGACTGGCTCTTAAAGGAACTAGAAAAAATAAAGGACAGATATATTCTCTTTGACTTTCCAGGACAAGTGGAACTTTTTACTCATAACTCATCGGTGAAAACCATAGTAAATCATTTAGTGAAAGCAGATTACCGTTTGACGTGTGTAAATTTAATTGACTCGTTTTGTTGTAGTGAAGTAGGGAAATATATTTCAGCGTTGGTTATCTCCCTTAATACGATGTTACAGATGGAGTTGCCACATATTAACGTGTTATCAAAGTTTGATCTGTTTAAAAAATGTAAAACGACAGCATTTAATGAAGAATTTTATACCGACGTTCTAGATTTAGAATTTTTATTGGATCATTTACAGGTTTGTAAACAGCACTTTTGTCATATTTTCGATTGAAACGAAATGTGATGAAACATCCTACTTCTCCACACTGTTCGGGTTAATGAAGACGGGCAAACATCATATAGTATTCCAGGATGCAAATTTTGCCCGGACAGTGGCGTTTTGGCCTATTCTTTTTCGAAATCAAACTGGCAAGAGTTCTCTGATAGCAACGTATACAAAAATGACCAGACCAGGGCTTCCACTAAAATTTTCACTTTGCAAATTAAATTAATATTTCGTGTTTTTTTTAATTTATGGTACGGTATCGTGAATTCACGTGTCTAAACCACTTTACACAAAATATTTAGGTTGTATTGTCAAAATTTCTCTTTTCATGGGCCATATCTACGTTTTGGGTTGTTTTTTTTTTTAAATTAATCATAATTCGTCGTCAGGATTCATGGTTGTTTATATTAATACAAGAATTGTGGGATTTATTGCGGGAAGGGGTGCAACTCTTACTTGACTTAGCCAAAGATACTGGATAATCAACCACATTAAAAACCAAACTCCCGTTAACGAACATAGGCCTACTCCACGCAGTGTTTCGTTTGATTAGAGCTAATCCCACTACTCACTGTTGTAAACAAAGCAAATTCTTGTTCTAAATTATACCAAACAGAGCTCCAAATCGGACCAAATGGATTAACATAACGTTACGTCATGACTCACGATTTTATTATGCCCAATTAACCAGTGCATAGCAGAATATTGCAGAAACACTAATTGTGTGACAAACAAGGCTATCAACTGTCAACACGATTTTTACTCTGTGGATATAATGTAAACAATATTGTTTTGAGACGAACAACACTTTCACCGTTTTTAATACCTTAAATCGCTGTCCAAAGTTTTAGGGAAGACTTCTGATTAAACGAAGGGCTATCATGTTGCTGTGCTTTTGGATAGATTTGATTGAAGGGGAAGAATAGACACACTCCCTCAAAAGCGCAAGTATCAGAAGCTAATCCAGCAATGGCCAGAGAGGGATTTCTCGGGCCATTGCTTCAGAAATATGGGTTACGAATGGCCAATGGACTTTACGTCAAATATTGACATCGCTCCCAGACCCCCCGTACGTTGAAGACTAGTAGGTTCTGGGTGACCGAGACTAAGCCGATGCAAACTTTAGTGAGTGGCGCATCAGACATGCGCCATAGTACACATGATTAAACGCAATTTGTTAACATTTTATTGTCCAGTAAAGATTTAATCAAATATTGGTTTACTTTATAGGCGGATCCAGTTTTTAAGAAATATAAGAAGTTAAATGAAAGTTTAATCGGTGTTATAGAAGGCTACAGTTTGGTTTCATTTGTACCTTTAAATATTCAGGTAAGTTATTGATGATTCAAAGGTTTACATTTAGCAAAGCAAAAACATAATTGAATATTCCTGTAACAGTTTGGTAATATTTAGATACAAAATTACCTTGAAAAAAAAAATGATGGGTATGTGAACCTCTCATGTGAAAAGTGGTACCAGGTCACCCAGCTGTTCAAAGAGAAAGCATTCAATGCACGACACCCACATATACCTCATTATAAATATTTCAAAACATGGGTATTCCTTTGAGAAAGAATACCCATTTATTAAGCGCTTAACCCCCAAGTTTTAACAGTTTGAAAAAGTACCGTAGCAACTAGCAGATTTGTTTTGTTTTTAATATAATATAACCTAATGCTAGCTTGGTAGTTATCAACTGATGTTTGGCAGCAACATGTTTGGCAGCAACACGTTACACACCATTTCATTCCATTTTCATTTCGCAGCAACACTGTTCTTGTTCAGTTCATTCTCATGTCCTTGCTGTTTTAATGGTATATTTCAGGATAAAGAAAGTATACAAACTGTATCATCGGCTGTAGATAAGGCTAATGGATATTATTTTGATAGCATAGAAAAATAGTGAAGGTTGTTCAGTGTCCGATTAGGCGATTACTAACTAATAACAGCCCTATGGACTATTGTACATCAATGTAACTGCGTTTGAGGAGCAGGAAATGTTGGGTAAAACCATAAAGATTATATAAAGTACACGAATAAAACATTTGGATTTGGTTTTGCTGTTATCCCCAAAGATTAGATTCATCAACGATTTCAATAATAATTGGGCCACTGTTTCCTTCCGTTTTCACGAGTTGTTTCAGGAGCCGCGGTTGTTCAGTAAGGCACTGGTTCGCTAACAATGAGGTCTGGGGTTCGCTCCCGGTATTGGCTCAGATTGTCCTGTGTGGTTTCCACTTGTTAGTGGTACAAGGGCCCGACCAGGAACAACGGCTAGTTTCCCGGGCGGCACGAAGAAAAGTGAACACATTGGCGTGCATGTTAAACACCCCTTTCCAGTTGGAATTTGAAATAAGCGTAGGCCGTAGCGCTACTATCCGGGCAAATTAACTCTCAAAGCACACTGCATGGTGCATGCCCGTCTTTATTAACCCGTTTGGTACAGAACAGTAGGACGTTAAACCCCATTTCATTTCATTTCCAAGTTGTTTCCCCTTCACCATATTTGCAAGTTAGGTTGAATTTTTTTCAAGTTGCAAATGTATGCAGTTTTGTTGCAAAATGACTCACCAGTTGTCTTTAAACGGGTAATATTTATGGGTGTTTTTTCTAATTGATAGTGGACGTGAAACGGGTATCAAGTTTAGTCAATACAGGATTTTCTTAAGTTGAACAAGGGATCACAGTGGCTAAGTGGGTAAGACGCTGGCTCGCTAGCCTGGAGGTCGGGTGTTCGATTCCTGCATCGGCCGGGAAAATTCATCCAGCAGTAGTAACCTGTTGCGTTTCAACCCGTAAATTAGTGTTTGGTGGGAGTCCTAGCACATTATGGGAGGTGAACATATATTTCTTAAAATTCTGTTCATATTCTGATTGAAATAAAGGTTGATAATCCCTGAATCGAACTCTCGAATCTCCCAAATAAACACTAATCTAATTCCCATTAGACTGAATAGCAGTTTTATCAAAAAAGGTGATGCACAAGTAGATGTCAATTATATTTGTGTTATACAAGGAACGACTGAAGCTGCATATTGCAACAGTCAGTAGAACAATAGAGACTTTTGGCAAGCGTAAATTCTTGGTCCGTATCGCGGGTGCGTAAAGTTTTTGTGTGACGTCATCAATGTGTGTGTATTTCTCATACGTGATACAGCACACGGATACGACAGAAAATGTCTTTTGTGCTACTTTTAGACGCTGATATGTTGTATCATAGCGTTTTATGAATCTGTGTGTATCCTAGAACACGAAGGTGTATCCCTGATGTGATTTTATCCATGGTAACGACTGGAATTTAATCATTATTTTTGATGGGTTTTTCTCGGAATTTTCATACTTTTCCTGTCTGCATGCTAGTTGATCTTCGTGCTAAACTTAGGGATGTGGGACCTTTCTGAAATGATACATTAGTGAAACCAAAAATTGCAGTCGAGTCGAAGTCGAAGATTTTTAATAAGATTCGACATTAATTTTTTTTTTAATAGCCCAGCGCCTGTCGAGCGACTTCACTTCCCCCGGGAAATTGTAGGCTAGGCACTTGAATAGTACAGGTGGTGCTGTAATAGAATTAAGCTCAGTTCAGCGACGTATACGTACGTGACGCGAAAATCTGCCAAAACTTTAAAACTACATTGACGCAACGTATCACGTATACGATACGGATGGGAAAAATCCGCTTGCCAAATTTCTCTAATGTCCCAACCTCATTTCCCGTTTGGGGCCCCATTGTTGGCCCGGAATATCTGAGAATTTTTGATCTGATGGGTCGTTGGCAAATGCATCTTTTCAAATTGTCTCGTGATATCATAATTCTAAGTTACTAGTCCGTCAAAATGTACACTCGGGTTGCCTACTGACAACTACACACTCTATCTTTGCTGCCCCTCAACCATTACCTCCTCCGACGTTCTTCTCGGAATGACCGGGATTCAAACGAAATACATTCCATTCGAAAGTAAAGGGCCATAACTACTATGGAGTTACATCACAGATATGTCCAAGCTAATGGCAGGGTAAAATTGAATCGAAACAGTCCCCGAATTCACGAAGTATTCTCAGACTTAAGTTAAGAATTAAATCTCCTTTCCATCACTGTTTATAAGAAATATCTTTCATCCAGAAAAACAAAACTTGCACATAGTTTCTTATTGATGTATTTGATACCTTAAAACAACAAAACTTTATAAAGGGTTATATTTTAGTTAAAATAAGGCGAACAATGTTTTAGTAAATCCTTAAGTTAAGTCTGAGAATGCTTTGTGAAGTCGGGGCCCGAATTATTTCTTACCCTTACGATTTGTTTCTATAACTGGATAATAACGGCTATTTTCGTAGAAATAATATGATGGTGTTACGATCCGTGTAAAAATGACTAAGTGGAGAATTAGCTGTTATTTAAAAGTCAAAAACATGTACATGTAATTCATTTATAGAGATGCACAATAATGAATTTCTGAATAGGTTTTTTTGGCAAAATGTTTGTGGGGTCCCTTCCGAGCCCCCCGGAACATTTCGGAAAATTGAATCGTTTTGGAATTAAGTCATATCAAGGTTGTGCAGTATGGAAACTGGACTCAAATCTATTATGCCATGGGTTCAAAAGAATGTTTTTTGCCCTTATTTAACAGGGGTGTCGATTGTGGGGCAAACAAGGGAAGTGAGTTTAGTACTTTGGATGTTACGAAAAACCAAGGCTCTGTACAAAAATTGGTAGTTGGCCAATACGTAAAATATCCTTTGGCAGTCAGAATTTGAAGAATAATACGTATTTTCGTATTTTACACTTCTCTATAGATAAAAATGATGTTTGCGCTGACAGACATTCCAGAAAAAGTGCAGTCATGTATGAATGGTATGATTAAGCTGCTAAAAAATAGAGGGGGGGGGGCCAAAAATCCCCCGTTCTGTCAAGGGATTGGAATTCCACCTGGAAAGAGTTGGAACAATTTGGACTAGTCTCTAGTTTATTACAAAAGAAAAAAACCACCGCCCTGTTATATGGAGTAATGGATTATTCAATAATAAAATCCCCCTATGAACAGAATATGTGATTCCAATTTCTCGTTGTTTATATTAAAACAGAAGAGAAGAAGAAATATGTGTTGAATATCATGTGTCGTTCGCTTACTCTAGAGAAATCAAATATCTAAAGAAAACCAACACCTCGTCAATTACAATCATAACAATTATGTTTTCTAAAATGTTTTGAGCAGTTTATTTAGTTGCAACAATTCAACCCACTCGAGTCTAAATTAACCGTGTCAGAAATTCTATAATTTTTGACGCAACCACATTGATGTCCGGAAGACGAAATATTTCAATGGGATGGCAGTTCTACTATTTTTGTACTCATCAGTACTGTCCCTATAAAACAGGGAATCGGATAAGATTTACAATAATTGATCGTTATGTAAATTCGCGTCACATTCGACGTGCAAATTTGTTAATTAAGGCGACATGATTGCTTGTTTGAAACTATTTGATACTAGATAATGAACATACTAGATATATAACATCTGAAACATTCGAAATTCTCAACTGTAATCAATTGCAACATCGATGTGCATTCTGAACAGTGCGGTTCACCCATTGCCTTTCAGTTCCCTGTTCTCGGCTTTTGTATGACAAGTACGTCTGTGTGTTGCAAGAAATGTAATCACTGCGTAGCCTAAATTAAAAACCGAGGATTTCCGACTGAACAGTGATCCACAACTAATTGGCAGTGCAGTACTAAAAAAGCCAGAGAGCAACACAGAAAATCCATAATGTCAGAATTAGTACCATCGATACGAAAATAAAACCCCCCGTCATTCACGAAAAACAAACCGAATGTCAAGATGGAATACAAAACAGTCAGCTATGTGAACCTGTCTCAGGACATCTCGCTTATCTATAAGTGGTAGCAGGTGTCCCGGTATAAGTAAGCCGATGAATAATTAGAAAAGCGATGTTATGTCATTGGTCCGATAAAAAAAATATCATTTGCAGTTAATCTGATTCTAAAAGAACAAAAACGTTGACCAGCCAAACGTTATATAGAAACTACAATGACACACAAGCTGTGTCTATGTACAACACTTTAAAACAATAAACAGTCAGCATCATAGCTTAAAAGATTATTTAATAATAAGATAATTGTGTTTTTTATGGAATAATGAAAACAATGAATTGCTATGAGACAAATTCAAATAGTTCATTATTTATACATATATAATATATATAATATGATAAGAAGAGTTCACTCAAAATGTTCAACAAGTATATGCCATGCTTTCACGAACTACAATGATACAATTGTCTTTAAACCACTTATTGTTTTATACACATTATTTACACATTTTAACTTCGTCGGTGATGATGTTGAGCAAACAGTACACCTTGATACATAATACCGTTAATCTCCATAGTAATGACCAACGAACTATCAATTTCTGAGCGACCATCGTCTGAAAAAGAGAGTTTATAATATGTTAAGAATGTTGGGACGACATCAACAATTTTCTTTACTTTAAAAATATCATAGGCTTTAGATGATCCAAACGGTTTAATAACGCTTTTTCACCACGTTCGTCAGACAATTAACAAAATTACCAATTAATGCAACCGGAAGTTATAGTTAACTTTTCAAATCGATAATTGCTCTGGGTCTACTATCTGGAATTCGTAGAAGTAGTTCCCAAAGCATTTCTACGAAAACGGATGCCAAGAAACGTATACCTGGTAGTTTAGGAAGAGGGGTGTTACATAGGCTAAGTCTGTTCTCCGACTCCATTCATAGGGTTTTCCGGCGTTGTTTCCCCATGTCAGTAGTGTATTACAGAGGGCCTGAAAAGGGACAACTATATAATCGTTCGGATGGGATGAAAACCCCAGCTCCCGTGTATGCATTGGCGGGCACGTAAAAGAACCCTTGACCGTTGGAATTCGAAATAAGAGTAGGCCATAGCGCAGCTGTCCAGACAAACTTTCCATCATAGCACACTACATGGTGTATGTCCGTCTTCATTAGCCCTGTAGGAGCAGAACAGTAGGACGTTAAACACCATTCCATTTCCATTCAGATATCCTGAATAAAAATATTGTTTTTTAAAGAAACAACTTTTGTCTTCTGAAATCCAGGTTTATACCATTGCTAGAGTCATAAGATGTCAGTTATGCATGATGTTTTCCAAGAAACTAACACCAGCAGTAACTGTTACCTCGACCTTAACCTACTAGGACGGGATGTTCCGATTAAATCATTATAATAAAGTAAAACAGTGTTGTGGCGGGTTTGCTTATTATTCTCACTATTACGTAACAACAGCGCCACCTTACTTGAAAATATATAAAAAAAAACTTACTTCTTGAGGTGATTTTGAAATGAGCACTAGGAAATCCTGCATGAAGGAGCATTCTTTCTTCTTCACTTAACATACGTTTACTAGGACTTGGTTCATCTATCGCCGTCCTGGAGGCGGCTTCCATTTTACGAGAAGCTTCTTCAACAGCCCTTGAAGCAGCTTCCATAGCTAGAGCATCGCGTTCTGTTAGAACTCTTGTAGACAAATTGTGAGGAGTTGAAGGTAAACTGTCATCATTAGCTGAAACAAGAAAAATTAAATTAAAGCATAACCGGTGAATGGAAGAGGAATACCGTTAACCAAGGACCATTTTATTCCATGTAATTGAAGCTTCCATGTATAAACTTATCTTTCTTCGCAAAACAGGGCTAATCTAAATTAACTAAAACTAGAGTTCTTTCAATCGTACTGTTAGAACCAGTGAAAGGTTAACGTGGAATCAAACATTGATCACCAATATAATATCTATACAGAAAGGTGGAAAATAAATTACTGGGGTTACCGATATATATTGACAGAGAAGACAGTATAGTATAATATAATATTGTATTAGATATTAAAGGTCAATCATGCCATTCTGGGATTTACTTATAGATGACATTTATTTCTAAATTATGAATTTATGATATCAATTAATGGGTCTATATAAAGATCCCGAGAAATATGGCCATATTTTAACATTTCATACATGAATGTTCACTTTCCTTTCTGTGAAAAATCTAATTTTGAAGTTCAGTCATATAAAACAACGGCGTTGTAACCATATTTTAACAAATTAAAGTATTCAAGTTCTGTGTCTTTTTGTTCCGGTTCATTAAATAGGACCTCTTTTGGTTCTAAGGCAATTTTGAAGTCAAATCATGTGACAGCCGTATGCAACAAAAGCCCATCTTTATCTGAAATTCGAAGTTATGTTACAACTTACGTGGTGATCCCATACGATGTTTGCCGTTTAGAAGACCTCCGTTTAAATGACTAGGTGGTACCAAGTTTGGACTGTGGGACATTTCGTAACCATAATGTGATCGTCGTCCCTCTCGTCTATTTCCGTCAATGGCAGCTTGTAATTCACTCGGTGAACTCAGTTTCAATTTCTCACATTCGTAGGGATATAGATATTTCATATACCTGAAAACATATGTGGATATCAGAAGCTGAAATATAGGACTTTAGAATACAACATTTTTAATGTCGACATATCCGAATGTTTATTTCGGGTAACTATGCAGAAGATCTTTTAAAATAATATGTTTCGGTAATAAAGGTACTATATTATTGATTCAAGTTTTTATTTGTATTATTAAGATGTTGCCGCTTTTTTAAAACCCAAAAATGAAACCTAAATGGATGTTCATGATGATATGATTGAAATGACAATATCGTAAAAAAAAGTTGTATTGAAAAATCTCGTGGCATGCTTTTTTTCTAAGAAAACCAATTGAAGGTGTGAAAACAATTTTCTTTTCTTTCCTTTCACTTAAAATATATCTTTCGGAGAATTATTGTTGGAAAAAATCATGAGTCAATGAAAAACGTCATTTTATTATTAGGCTACATTACAAAGTACATGTTTAAAGTAATGGTGGCATTAAGAGAAACAGTTATCTTTCTGTTTTGAGATGGTAGAGCGTTATATGTTATTTTTTTTTCTCATTCTTAGCTCGATTTTTTCAGGTTTAAACGATTTAAAGAAAGGGACATTTAAAAGGCAATTAATGCGTGTTTGTCACTGGCTTTGTTCGTGTATTTGACTTAACCAAAACCAATTGTGCTTTTTATCAACACTCCAAGATTTAAAGGGCAAGATTTTTCAAGATGTGCGGCGTAACTCTAGAAATAGCTAAGAAATGAAAGAGGAGTATCTGCTGAAAAAATCTAACGTCAGATCAATTCATAAAGCTGTTATTTGAATAACGCATTCGCCGACATTCGTACATCAGTAAAATAATTTGAGTAACAGAAGTTTAATAAAAACAAGTAGTTTTACATTTCATTATTTTATGCAGTTATTTCAATTAACAATATATTTTTACGTATAGATATTTCTACAATTCCTTTTAACATATTTATATAGCAGCTTTTGTATTTTAAGTATACTGTACTTTTAAATATAACAGCGATTTAAGAGTAAAGTATATGTAATAAAAATGATTCGATTATCCAAATTTACGCGTAACTACTGTTGTGTCAAAATAACTGTTGCCTCCAGATGACCTTGTTAGTTTTGTTTTTTTTCTTATCATTCCTATCTTTTTGATATAACAAACTGACAATAGGACGGGCTTAACTTGTTTTTGGATAGAAGAATGAACCAAGCTGTGTGGTATCCTGACTAAATTTTAAAATGAACTTTGGAGATATTTATCTGCAGAACCGGAATGGCATATTTTTAGGAATATATTGTTCTTTAAAATTCAGTCTTAAGAGAAACCAGTATTATCATATCTTATTGTTATCTTAACCAGGGCCAACACTTCTTTGTCTCCTGACGCAGTGGAATAGAATATGGTTGAACGTCTCATCAGCGTAATGCTTGGTGGTATTTGTCATTTCAATGGTTACGTGTGCACTGTGAAGGGACCATATTTTGTCTGGACCGAGGCGTTTCCGACTATACTCAGCTGTCAAGTGTTCTTTACTACACGCCAATGTATACATAGATGGGCCTGAGTTTGTTCGTGCCATCCGAACGACAAAGCAAATCTTCCCTTTCAATCCCACAGGTGCCACCCCTGAGTAAAATCACAAAAGTGTTCTTTAAGACTTACACCGGAATGAGAGCCTGGGACGTTTTGGTCGATAGGTCAGTTCCACGGCCCCTCCATCTAATTCGTCAATGAAGGTATAACATTTCATATACACATATAAACAGATACACATATACACTGTACATGGTTTAAATCTGAATATTCATTTATTATTCTAAGTCAAGAAAGGGTCGATTAAACATTTGCACACAGCTATGATATTCGTTTGCACATATCAGTAGAGCCAATGCCAATTCAACAACTAACACCATTGATTCATCTGAAAACGCATTTCTAAGCTAAACAAGTCAAAAAAGGGAAATGACAACACTTTGTAGATATAGTAAAGGATTGTTCACGTTAAATTCTAATCGATTAATTTTATTAGCTTCCACATTTCTTTATACGAACATAGAGAAAATAAGTTGATGGCGTCGCGGAGAAAGGAAATCGTAATCAACTGGCATCCACTGGTATCAATATTTGATAGTGTTGGACGACATTTAATTCAATGAAGGTGTTATGTTATCAAATTAACGCAACTCGTGTAATTCACTGCTACAATTTTCTGCTCTAAGTAACACCTAATAAATTGCAAAGTGTGGTTCTAATTTGTTATAATCTTCAACAAATGACATTACACTATTGGATTAATTAGGTTTCTTGACTGTTTCCAGGACGCTTAATTCACCATTTTCTACCATGTGCTTAAATCACCTTTAAGGTAATGTGCCGTTAAACTTAGATATCGGAAGTAGTCATTATTTTTTTCGTTCTAATTGAATTCCAATGGTGCACCCCAGATTAATATTTCGATCTAACAATAGTGTCTGCTTAAATAAAGTTATTTTACACAATAGCATAAGGGGAATAGATATAAGCATGGCAACCCAAATACTGGATTAAAAACCTTATCATCCTATTAGAAAGTTATCGGAAAGGGTTTCATCACTTTCAATAATCTATGCCACACGCGTCAGAATACAAAGGTATGGATTTGACATCCCTTCGAGCTTCTATAGGTCATTTTGGTGTGTAAATACGTGTAAGTATTCAGTGAATCTCATCAAATTAACGTTTTTAGTCTCAAATGGGCCATTTATATTTAACCGTGCATTTAATTACCAAATTATTTCATAATAAGGCTTCAGTCAAATTTATCTAATCTCTGCAACTCTCACGTCGCTCTCAGGAACCACGAGATACCAACAGGGTTAATTAGGCTTTAATAATACGTACACATAAAAAAAATACTTTTCTAGGACTAGACAAGCCTCGGCATAGGGAGTTTACTATCAGATATCGGGTAGTACAGTTGTCCGGTCGGATAGCATAATTTTCTAGTTAACACGAAGACAAGGAAGCATATCTAGAAACAGACGCGGGAATGGGGGCGTCTTAGCCCACTCTGTTCAAGACTGGCAATGCCTCTATTAAAGCAAGGGAAACACCTCTGATTAGACACCACACGGTTTTAAAAAGTAACCTGTTTAAATGTTCTATTAAATGGCATTTTGAACAACAGTGGAATATTGAACAACAGTGGAATACGGCGACTAACTAACTGCTTATTTTTCATTTTGCATCGTAACAGTGGCACCAGTCTTATAAGATCTTTCTCTTAGCTTAAAGTTTTTGTTATGGATAAATAAAACGTTCTACAATGCAATGAATACAAATCACAAAGTTATTTTAATAATTCTTCTAGTGTTATCTTACACTTTTTTGCAATTTTGTGGAGCTGAGCTTTGGATCTTGCACGATCCATGACCACGGACGCATTATCTAGGACGTTATGATCTTAAGAAGAATCCAATGAAAGACTTATTTGACAATTAAAACAATTCACATGGGATAAAACAAATTAGGGGGTGGGGGGTAGAGGACATAAAAAGATTGAGGGTCGACCAAAATCTCTGAAATCGATTAATTTTAAAACATAAACTATTGAAATAATAACATAGATACAAATTAGTTTCTGGCAAAAAGGACGACTGAGTAGCCATTGTCGTTTGCTGGATTTTAGTTTATTTCTACACTCCATTAATTACAAGTTAATGCTAACTAATTAATAAATTACTTTTCTTTAAAGACTCGTTTCATTTCTATTGTTATTTGATCTTTAATTGTTTGATATCACTCACTGATCAATGGTCAAATACAACTAGATTCGGTATAGTCAACAGACCATTTGCTTTTGACGTTTCATTATTTATTTATTTATAAAGGGTTAATGTAGATGTAGTTAGTTTTAATTGATACAATTCATTGGGGGCCATTTTGGTAAAAACAAAATCATGAAAATTACAACTTCATCCATCGATTGATGATTTTTTTAATCTAACGCCAACAACACGATATTATTTCTATTGTTCTCTCGGTCGTGAAACGGCGCCAAGACTTATTCAGTGAACACTTTAAGTGAAAAGCAAAGTGAAGTATAGTTTTTAACATTATATACTAATGTAAAGCGGGGGGTTGGATGGCTGAATGGTTAGCGTGCGCGCGCTGTGTCATAAAGTCTGTCATTGAGTCGATTGGCGTGGTTTCGAATCCCCGGTTGTACGTGGCAAGGAGTAGGGTCACCTGTCCAACCTCGTGGGTTTTCTCCGGGACCTCCGGTTTCCTCCCACTGCTAAAGACCCCTACGCGCAAGCGAATTATTGAAATAAAATTAAACCATATGTTAGTCCCGAAATGACCTAGTTTGTGTCGAGCGGACGTTAAACCCCATTTCTCTCTCTCTAATGTAAAGCATGTATTTATGTTACCATGGGGGGGGGGGGTATAAAGCAGTTTCTTTGCAATTTGTCCAATCATCTCCTCCTACGGTTGACTTTTGAATTCCAGTTTTTGTCCCTACATATAAATGGTATAAGATTCAAAGGCGATCAGTTTGTTATAAAAACATAGATTGAAATTTTATCAGTATTAAGTTACTCCTTCGCATCTTTGTCCCAATAAATTCCAAATCAACTTATGTCCTTTCTCCTATTTTAATGTTAAAAACTAAAAGTTCTTGTTCAATTATCTTTCTACCAATGCGCAACATTTTTCGGGAATCATAAAGGGGAATGAAAAGGCCGTCTAAGTGATAGATCCATTCAAATGCTAAAAACGAGCTTTTAGTATTTTATTTTTATCGAGTCAACACTGGAAGGCCCACCATAGCAAAGATATTATGTGTAGAAATATTAAGGCGATTAAGATATTTGTTCCATCAATTTCTTTCCAGACAAACAAAAAAACGAAACAAGGTGGGTTTTTTTTTGAAAGTGTGTTTTTCTCTTTTTTCGGATATTCTAGTTTTGCCTTTTCTTGTTCTTATTATAACCCGTTGAAAAACATATGTTTTATGCTTTTTTAAAAAAACAAAAAGAGATTAATCTAATGTCTTTTATTATAATATATATACTTCTTCTCCATCCCACACTAGAACTTCTCACTTTAATTCCGATACTTCTCAACAAACAATCGACTGGTCTATAATTGACTTCAATAACATATTTTTTTGTAAACTCTTCGCAAAATAAATAGAATTATTTTAAGAGAAATTTTATTCCCTTCGTATAATCCGACGTTTTTGTGATGAGTTGCCTTCGATAATGACTGTATAATAATATTAATAGGCCACAAAGCTAATTAAATGCCCCATTTGTAATCGAATTATTCAATAAGTTGGACGGTTAAGTGAAATGTAAATGTTTTACGGTCCCAGTTGATTAACGTGAAGACAGATTCAAGCGGTGATATCTATCATCATGTTGAATTGTCTCCAAGCACCAGAGCTTTGCAGGAAAGTCTAAACACTTTGAACAGCGGTAATGATATTTGAGAGAGCCACAGCTGCAAGGGGAAGCGAAAAGGTGTGAAGCAATTTTGTGTACAGTAATGGGATGCGAAACCATTAAGCCATGAGAAGGGTTTTTTCATTACAATGCTGGTCTCGCCTTAACATATAGTCTCTTTACAGAGAATAAAGACTACTTAACAATAAAGAGTTAATTTCGGGCCTGATTTAGTCTTATGACACACGAATTATTCACAATTTAGCTCTAATACAATTCTCTGTGTTTAATGGAAATTGGAAAATAATATCTTGTTAGTGAATCGATACACAACATAAAATGAGGCACCACTGGGACTCCATATCTACACAGAACAAATCATAATAAATGTACGTGTATAATGACAATATAATTAACTTAACAACATCATTGATGAATAAAGGGCAATAACTATCATTAATAGGGATATTGAATTTACGAAGTCTGCTGTGGGTATAAAAGTTAGTACTGTCTATATTGTTCCGATTTCAGGGATACAAAATGTAATTAAATGGTGGGACTAAAATGAGCATTATACACTATAACTATATGTTAATATTTCAGGGTTCACTATATATTAGTAGCAATATGACATTAACAATGGACCAATTAATAAAGATGACGGTGTGAAATTAACAGTAATTAATGTGAACATTACTTGGCCATGACTTACACCAGACTGCATTGATTTTAAGCATTCTGGACCAAGATGCTATATTTTCCCCATTGGTATAGAATGTCCCTAAGTGTATATTAAATTAATTTGAAAATAATTATGTTATATCTATATATTTCTGGGCCAATATACTATATATTTCTTTATTTGTACAGACTGTCCCTAAGTGTATATTAAATGAATTTGAATACAGAATAATGCTTGTCATTATTATATAAATGAAGTTACATATTTCTCGATGATTCGTGATTAATGTTATGACAAATCGAAACCGCCTCTCCTCATTCGTTTTATGTCATTGGTCGAAGAATCATCTTCGGAGCGGGTATAAGTTATACAATATATGAAATACTACATGTCTATCATTTATAATAATATAAGTAAAACTTACTGTGTTCTAAGTGTGAAGGCAGCACTAGTGATGGATGAGGGCAGGTTTAAGCCTTTGGTTATTTCCCGCCATAGTTTCTTGTTAATGACTTCTACCAAGCCCCCTTTTGATACAACTAATCTGAATAGTTCATATATATCTAATGTCTGTTTCGCCATTATTGGTATTCTGTTGACGGGTGTGCCTGAAAACAGAAACAGACAATCATATCAATTATTGTTCATTAATTAAATACATGTATATCATACTAGACTTGTGTGTCTTGGGGAAATAAATAAACACCGTAACTTTCAATACAGGATCGGTGCAAAAAAAATGAAGAACTTAATAAAATTCCAATCTATATTTATACTCAATTTATCATTTTATTGCAAGAACACTATTATAAGATACCTCACCAAAATCTTTAATCCGTTGGAGTTTTAAAGGAGCTAAACTACCTTGATTTGGGCCAAAAATGGATGAATTGGGTTGATCTGGTGTATTATTTCAATCTGTGATGGGGAGAAAGTTTGTATACACGATTAAATTATCATCGGTTTGTTTACAAAATTTGAATACAGTCGAATGCTGAAATCAAAATCATTATATCTTAACATTAAAATGTTAATTTTAGACAAATCCATTTCGCAACAACAACTCAACACATTAAATTCAAAGACCTGTATTGATTTTAAAGAAAGAAAATTAACATGTATTTTCAAAATACATTTTCTTAAAACGACAAAAACATTATCATTATCTTTCTTTCACTTAATGTCTCTTATATTTTATTTATTATCCATTTAACAGTCTTACGTTATCCTAACTGTATTCAAAACTAATGGATATAATCAAAGGTTGTCATCTAAATAGCTGCTCATACAACATCTAATTCTCCAATATTTGTTCTTGGTTAATCTGTAACAATTTGAAGAGCTGTGTGTATGATAGCTATTGTCTAAGAATGGAACGCATGAATGGAATATTGTCTCGGTAAGTGATCATTGAAATTCATCACTTGATCACTTCTACGCCAATCAAATATTGATACCTCTATTCGCACAATAAAACTTTCAATTTTTTATTGTGCTTCTGTTATCCGACAGAATGACTATTACTTCCATTTGATGAAGTAAACTAACCATAGGCATAAAAAGAGATATCTCGTTTCTGATAGGATATTATTCATGAACAAAAGAAAGATGTAACAAAAGATTTTGAGATAATTCTACTAATGGTGTGGCTTCTATTTTAAATTAGAGTGTAATTACACTAATATTGGATTTTTTATAAATATATTTTAAACTTTTTTTATTTAGACAATGGCAAGCCTATGGGTTACGACCTCAGATTATTTCAGTATTCAATTTATTAGTACATGTAATAGGCATATTATAGACTACATGACCGTTCTGCCATCTATAGTGAGAAAGTTAGAAATAAAACAAAAGACGAAAGGGGGTTTATTGAGGTAAACATCAAAGAACATTTCTTTGGGAAATTCAATAGCCTTAATCATTATAAATACGATTTATACCTAATATCAGAATTGTGAATCACGTCTATTTTGACAAGATAATGTATTAATCAGCAAAATTGTCTTTTTTCTTGAAAGACTTATAATAGAGTAGAATATCAAAACTCAACAATTTGGGTGCTTTTTTGCTGTTAAGCGTAGCAGAGTATATTTCTGTTAATCTATTAGTATATATGGCAAATCCATTGTAGGTAATTACAATCAAACATTTAAGAATAACAATGTAAGCTATGTATATTTATTAGATCATAATATATCATGCGTAAACAAATGTATGGCTGTTTCTGTTTTCATTATTGTACTTGGTACAGCCGTTAGGCTATCATAAAAGAGGAAATAATGAGAATATACATGACGAAGAAAAAAAGAGAAAAAGTAATTCCTGGAGTACAAATAATATTTATAATTACACCCAACTTTTAATTTCTAAATACAATTTACACGCCTAATTGAATTAAGAGCGCCAGAAGTTTAAATTCGTCTCTTCTATAAATCAAAATTATTGCGCTATAATATTAAAGAACCCTTCACATTAGTAATTAAACATGCCTAATGCATGATCTAGATTCTGGGGCTTTGCAGTTTTTACAAAGATCTAAATGAACCTTTCCATGAATGCATTGCAAAGAACTACGCGCAGTGGGCGCATATTCGGATGTGAAGAGCAAAGGTCAAGATGGGATCGAATAAACATTATGGAACTGATGATCAAAAATGAAGATGACATATTATATAAAATACTGAGCCAATATCTCAATGAGGTGAGATATTATTCTTATATAAAAGAGGGAGTTTCTGATATTCAAGCATCGAGAAAAGCTGTCAAGTAACACATGGAGTTGATGATCGAACATCTAGATCAGTATATAACAAATGGAGCTGATGATCGAACATCATAGATCACTATATAACAAGTGGCGCTGATGATCAAACCACTGTAGCTCGCAAGTTATATAACAAATATAGCTGATTATTTAAAGAACAACATCAGGAGTTATAACAAAAAGAACTGATGATCAAACAACTAGAGGATATGTTATAACAAATGGAGCTGATGATCAAACACGTAGATCAGATGTTATAACAAATGGAGCTGATGATCAACAACTAGATCAAATGTTATAATACTGGGGATTGTTGAATTCTTCTCACATGATACAAACTAGGGTTGGAAATGAAAATGAAATGGGTTTAACGGCCTTCATTTCTGCACCAACCAGGCTCATGGAGACGGGAATGTGTTATGCAGTGCCCTGTGAGGGAATAATAGTACATGTATGTCTGCGATATCACCTCAGTGGAGGCTTACTTTATATAAACTTGAAGTACATTGTATATGTAACTGTGCAATTATGTAACACTTCTGAGGGTCGTTAATCAGATCTTAGGGGATGAGGAATTAACAAAGATAAACTAGATCACAGAGGGAGGATTAAAACAACAGTGATCTGGGTTAAGTAGTAGATAATGGGCAGAAATAAAAAAGCATAACGAATATATTATTATTGTAAATCTGTGATGAAAGTTATCCTTTCTGATACATAAACTAATAACAAAAAATATTAAAGGCTACCTTTTGAAATCTTGCATCCCGAAAAGAACTCACGGGCAGAAGATGTTTTCGAAGGGTAAAAGAAAACATGTCTTTAATAAAATTTTCTAACATATAGGTTACTTAATATTAATTCAAGCATGAGTATCAAATGTATTATATTACAATAAATCAAATAATACTAGTATTTATATTAATCACTTTAAATCGACTCTTTAAAAATATACTTGATATATAGATATATAGATACATTTAACGATAATCTATCCCAGCAAGTATGTATACAGGCCAAACGAAGATTAATCTGAATTCAAGCCTGATATATAATTATTTCATCATTCAAAAGCATTAAATTCTCCCCTAAACTATAATTTATCTGACAAAAAATCCCCGAATTTTATACACTCAATACGACTAGTGGCACTAATGAGTATAAATTGTACTACAATAGACGAAATAAAGCCACCGGTATGCTAACTAGCAGTTTGATAGCCAGAAATACACAAAAAAATGTTGCACAATGGCTCGCCATTGTTGTAAAATAATGTATATCAACCCACCGTGTCATGACATAATACTATGCACTATGGAAGCCCATTGTGATTCATAGGATTCAGCGCGTCGAGACTACTGCATCAGAGGTTGATGTTTTCCTTACACGGTCCCATTTTCCACCTGTCATTAAAGAGTACTGTATCGGAACAATTTATTTGTATGACTAGAAAAGAGACGCACAGCTTAGTGTACATTTTTATTCGGGCTATCACAGATGTTTTTTTATGTCCATGTCAAATACACACATATTATTCTCCTCAAATAACCAATCAGAAAATTGCTGTTCATAACGTTTACCTCTTGTGATCGTTGTCGCAATGCATGAACATTCGGGTACATTATTCGATGGGTTGGCGTTATTTCCATAAAATGAATGCAATGGTGTTAGTAATGAACGTAAAATTAAACTTTATTGTTATTATTAATGTTAAATCAGCCTTTTTTTTACTTTATTAATGTTAAATCAACTTAATTTTCATAATTAAAATTAAATCAACTATTTTATCATCATTGGCATTTTCTTCACAATTCAAGTGTCTTGAAAGGTCATCATTACGACTTATATATTTCAAGAGATCATAGCATTTCTCAGACAAATGTTCACCAGATTTTGTTCCTTGCGACATATAATATAGGAAATGCTGTAATTAAAGGATTAATTTGACAATGATTTATCTTATTCATGGATAGAACGCGCTCAATTTGAATCATGAAAATAAAAAAGCCAACAAGTTAATGTATATTTATATATGTTAGTAATTATTGTCTACCATTTATCAAAATCAAGTTCGGGTTTCAATCTTCCAAAACCTCGAAGCCGATTTCTTGACAGAAACTTAATAAATAAATGCAGTCATTAATCATCCCTTAACAGCCAACCAGACAAATTAAGAATTTATATTTCACAAAAACGACAATGAATTATTGTCAGAGTCTTGTAAGTAGAATCATGTATTATACTTTGAAACATGTATTGTATTTTTGCGGCATTCCCACATGAAAGCCTTAAATGTGATATATTTAATGTTATCCCATTTAAGGTGGAATGATGAATTTCTATGTAATTCCCCGGTGTTTAGCCTTAAGTAGTCAACGGCTAATAATCAATAGGAAGCTTCTCATTTTACAACAAATTAAGTGATGTGGATTTAAATATGACAAAAGAAATAAATACGAAGTCGCTCCCAGAGTTTAATGAGTTAAGTTCCTTGAAGCGTGAAGTTCAACCTTTCCTCTAATAAAAAGAAATAAAAATATCAACTTGGAGAGTAACTGATCGTCGATAAAACAAAAACATGAAAATTTGATAAGTGTATAAAAGGAAAACTTTTAGCTCTTGGTATATACTGGAATTTAGGAACTATACGCCTGAATGCGAATTTCTGAGTTTGATTTGAATAAGGACAATCAAAAGAAATTGCCTAAAACGAATATTTCATGAGAGAGCACAAATAATTGAAACACATTTCAACTAAACTAAAATTGAGAATTTTAAATTATAGTAACGATATTTTAATAAATGATGGCACTTGTACATCTTTGATGTAGGTAGAGCGTATAGAAAATGTATCTAAATTTTAACCTATTACTTCTAATGAGCAATAAAAAGTTCATCCGTAAGTGTAAGTGTTTGAAGATGTGCAAAACGGATAAAAAGTATCAGAATTAATGTGAATAAAATTGGAACTGTAACTGGCTGTTTTGCACTTAAAATAGTTTTAAATCGCTACCTATATTAACTCATTATGATCTCAGTATATACTGAATAGGAGCAATTGTACTACTTACGTTGTAACCCCATGCTTCAAACCATAATTATAATATAGCCATATACTATCAATATAGTCATTTAGAAGTATATTTTATAAGTTATAACGATACGTATATATAAACTTGTATATTAATTACCTACAAGTAGGCTTGTTAATATATATGGACGAATTAGTCAATATCAAAGCCTAGATAGAAGATGAAAAATTAGTTTTCTTGTGCAAATGTGGTCTTTTTAGATTGTAATTTTCACTATTAAAACAATAAAAAATAGGTATAGAAATAAGTTATACTGTAGGTGGCGCTGGCTTGTTTTAGCCACACCCCGTTCATTTCCATTATATCGTATCCTTTTAAATACTGAATAGAACTGAAACATTTGGTACTGATATTCCTTTTAGAGATTCATCTTTAACAACATTGTTGTTGGCAAGGGATTAAAAATCCCTCAAATGGCAATCTGAGATTTTTTATTGTTTATAGGTTGAAAATCTATATTTAGCATTTTATTTTCTGTGCCCTTGGGTCTTCGGATAAGAAAACAATACCATTTTACCACTTACCCCTTTTCTGCATAAAGCTAAATAAATCATCGAGAAATTCTCGTCTCTTTGGGTCCTCACTAAGTTCATAGAGCTGAAATGATATAAAAGACAATTCTGTTAAATGTATTGTTAAAGAAATACCAACATTTGTATTGGGAGTGTTCACCATTTGTATGGTATTTTCATCTTAAAGATTTTAATATTCACCAAATTTTGGGGCTGTGTGCCATTTGTACACATTCGTGCAACTAATACTGTCATTTCATGGAATTTGAATTTGAATTAACTATATAGTACTATTTAGAATGGATCAAATAGTTAGCATACCCACTTCAGACAAAATCCATGTAGACCATTTATCAATACATATAAAACATGTAGCTGAATTTACCCCCCACAATGTATAGACATGTATTAGACGTATATATGAGGTTGGTAGCCTTTGGCCTAAAAACTTTCTTAATTACACCCTTCTGTTAAAGTCGTACATACTCTTATATCTCGATTAATAAACCATAATTAAACTTGTCATGCCATGCACTCTTTCTGATCATCATTTAAAAGCAATTCCGCGAGTCATACACACATGTTAAATATTACCATCAGATATCAAATGTGGATTATATATTTATAAGCTTTATTCGCTCAATTTAAGAGCCGCGTCTGTACGATCGTATATCTTCTACTTAATTTCATTTCAACTCGCTACATCCTCAACTCTAATTTACTACCAGACAAATTTTTAAACGACTCAAGTCCAACATTACCAAACAGCATACAAATATAAACGGGTCTTCGTGAGTTTTCGGCTGTCCTTGCAATTTTTTAAGAATCTTTGGAAATATCCCAATTTACAGTGTAATCTCTTGATAAGATCTTAATCTGTAACTTACAACAACCCCAAAACATCGTGGACAATTCTCAAAATAAAAATACATTAAAAAAAAAACAGTCTCGGTCAGCTCTAGGGTTGCTTTTTCGTGTTTGCCAGATTGCAAAAAATAACTGATTTTAAATAATGCGATCTTGATCTAAGATATACGGGCGGTTGAATGGCCGAATGTTTAGCGCGTGGGCGCTGTATCATAAGGTCTGTCATTTAGTCAACTGGCGTGGTTTCGATTCCCTGGTTGTACGTGACAAGGAGTAGAGTCGCCTGTCAAACCTCGTGGGTTTTCTCCGGGTTTTCCAGCCCCCCCCCCCCCCCACACTGCTAAAGACCCCTACGTGCAAGGGAATTATCGAAATAAATTAATCCATATGTTAGTCCCGAAATGACTTAGTTTGTGTCGAGTGGACGTTAAACCCCATCTCTCTCTCTCTCTCTCTCTCTCTCTCTCTCTAAAACATACAAGAAGTCAAACACCATGAGCTTTAAAAAAATGCATACGAATGGTGGAAAAAGTAGATTTTTAATGAGCTTTCGGCTACAGTTTCAATGTTTTCATTTGCTGAATCTTGGAATTCATCCCGATTACTATTCAATTTTGATTATATTACAAATACCTTTCATTTTTTGTATAATTGAAATGAACAAAACATGCCCCAAACTTTAATGAGAAAACAGTTTCCAAACTTTTCAATATAAAACTAAATATTCGGTTTTTTGAGATATTTGAAATAGTTTAGCTGAAAGTAATTTCTTAACCTGTTTAAATTAATGACTAATTAACATTAATGATGGTTGCCATTCCTGGAAATTTCATTTTGATTCCGGCTTTTTACTTATTTTCACGTCTGAACAGATTTATTCCAGATTGACTTGTAATGATCGTTATTTGAGTTCCAATTCAAATTGTGCAACCCTGTGCTTTTTTCTCTTAGATTAATTTGAAGTGATGACAATAACAGAATAATGCCTGCTTTAGGATACTGGTAAGGTAGGTTTCATGCTAACGTAGACATAGATGTAGAGATGTACAGATAGGTATAATGTATTTTAGTGTTATTCTGTTAAACGATTTGATATCTATTTAGAAGTATTTTTTGTTGAAACTGATCTGGGTTAATATAGACTAACACGATGATTAGAGTGTAAATAGAGACTCTGGTTTGTGAATTAAGCTATATAAGAAGAAAATCTCTTTACGGTGCAACCCAGTTTTTATTTTTCATATTGTAAAGATTTACTATTAAATTACTTACATTATCGTATCATATTATTCAAATTATAATGCAGATTATCCATACCTTTTTTTTACAATACATGCATATTATAGCAGAGTATTGTTTTGGGTTGTTCAAGGAAGAATAATGTATGAAACTGACAGTATTATATCAAACACACTTTATCTCACCATTCAGTTAGTGAAATGTTCTTAATTCTGAACACATCAATGGTAACTTTTTACTACTCACAAATTTTGATAAATAAATTGAAATTTGTACATTACCCACTTTTTATTCTATATAATAAGTGCATTAAATTGTCTGGACCATAATACTGACAAACAAAAAATCAAAGGTAAAACATTCGGATTTCTTACATGCGTGTAAGACAAGTTCACAATTTGCTCTAGTAATCATGGTGAATAACAAAAAGAAAGCGTGAAACAAATAGGGCACATAAAAAGGAATGGAAACGAAATTTCTTACACGAGCGAATGCCTCCACACATACGAATATGAACGAAATTTGTTACAAGAGCGACAATTCTTATTTTAACTATAAGTAATTTTACAGTAAGTCTTACATAAATTTCAATTAACAAAAGGGACATTATTACTAATAACATCATGTAATTTTACAGTAGGTCTAACTAAAATTTCAATTTACAAAAGGGACATGTATATACTTTGTCGATAACAATGGAAAATACAAGTTTCGGATATCCTTCGTTTAAAAACCAAGTGTCCTCAACGTAGAGACTTCTATAGCGGCAACCATTTGAGGCGAAGACAGGTAAGTTCAGGTGGAGACAACTCTAGTGAGTAACTAGCACAATGTACAAATAAGTTCAATTAAGGAAAAAACGAAAAACAAATCAGCCAATCTCCTTATTTTATTTTCAATTTTTCTGCGATAAGGTCATCATTTCGAAGCATTTTCCAACCCAACCCATAAATAAATTATTATAGTCTATCTCGAAGATACTACAATACTGATTTCTGTTTCTGTCCTACCCCAAACCACATACGTTTGCCCGACCTTGTCATCACGGAATTGCATATCAGCCTGGTCATGTTTTAATAATTCCAACAGTTGTGTGCGTAATCTAAACCGCCATAAAACTGCATTCAATCAGACGTACTCTGGTCAAAGGCAAAGCAGACCTAAGGTGTGATATCTGAGTCAAGGTATGCCGACTGTCGAGTAGGGGGGCGACAGCTGAATACCACACCAAGCGTAGAACAAATGAACGGACATAAAGTTCACAAAATGCTACAATTTAACATAATGATGCGGGTGATTTTAATTATTCTTTTCAGTCTTTTAACAAGAAGGGATTATTCGTCATCTGACATCGTCTCTTCATCTAAAGGTTTGACCTACAACTTTACTAGAGCTACATATCCCACATACCGATATAAAAAAAAAGATCTGGATTGTTACTCGGCGCTCGGGAAAAATTCCTTTACACTTTCATTCTTAAACTCATTTTCATTTGGAAGAATAAACGGTTTGGCCGGTTGAGATAATGTCATTATAGAAGTTATCCACCAGGCAAATGTCATCACGTAATTACCCACAACGTGTCTATCACATATTAGAATGGGAAGATGTCGCGAGAACGCATCTCGATCATCCCGACTTCTAAGACGAGACTAATATTTACTGAGGATCAAACCTAACTTTAGGATGTAGCATTCCAACTAAAGCTGTCGACTTTACAATATATGAAACCCTTCTATTTAATAGAGAGAGGAGCTAATCTTCAATTCTTTCATCTTTCAGTTAACTTATCCAGACCAAGATTACGGTCTTGTGGAAGATTCCCCGGTATTTTCATCTATGTATTTGCCACACCTGAATATGACTGCAGTAAAGGAACGCGCTCTCCATTCTCCCATCTTGTACCTTTAATGCCCGGCTTAAGAGGCGAATAAATTAGAACAAAGTAAATTTTAATCGTAGTTGTGAAGAAGAATCATAACAGTGTTTGAAAGATGAAATGTTCTGAGGTCAATGTCATGCCAAATGAAATCTAGTCAAATCGGTCTTAATTTCACCTAGATTAAAAGAACTCGCCTTTGTTGTTCGGAGTTCCTGAGAACTGGGTAAAGACATTTTGTGATTTACCAAGAAAGCCAGTGTCTCCTTTTATCGATGAAAGAAGGGATTAAATACTCGCGCACCCGCTAATATCATTTCAATCTGGATGGGGGATTAAGACGAAATAAAACAATAGAGCATCAAATGAAATAAAACTAAATCATGTTTGATTTTGTCAATAAGAGAGTTGAGAAAACACAAGATTATTTACTCTTATACAATCTATGTCGGTAGATGAAAGGCAGTAAATCGTGGTAGTAAATAAACTTTAATGATTAAGATAAACAAAAGTGGTGGCCATGTCTTTTTGACATCTTTGAGAAATACAGTGGATGTAGTTTTTAAATAAAATTAGGATTTTCAGTATCACAGATCAAATGATTCACTTTATCAAAGTCACAATTCATCTGTTGACATTTTGACAAATTGGCTTGAAGGGAACATTGAAACTGGTATTCGACAGTTTGTATGTCCTTGCATTGACGCATACTACTTTATGATTTCTAGAACCCCTACCGAAATGAAATGGGGATTAACGTCCCACTTTTCTGTTCCATCCGGGTTAATTGCGACTGGCATACGCCATATTCTAACAAGGGTTCTTTTACGTGCATGCAAATGTGTACACGGGACCCCCAGTTTCTCCCAAAACCCCAAAGGGCTTAACGGAAACATTCTTGGCAATCACCAAAACAAAAAAGTCAAGATGGAAATTTTGAAATTGATTGATTAGTACCATTGAAAAGTAGTATCTGCCATGTTTTAACCTGATAGCAGGTCTGTTATAGGAAATAATTTGACTGTAAATAGTTTTTAAAGAGATCACAACAGTCTACCATTTTGGAATATAAAATATCTAGTATTGCCAAAATACTAGAA